GGCACGCTGCTGTCATTGTGATGTCTCAATGTGGGGGGTCCTTGGTGAGCAAAATAGGGGTTCGCCAGCGCCGTGGGCGACATGCCGTTCTCCAAAGGATCTCCTTCACTGGCTACTGTCTGTGACCTATTGCGAGTTATACCACCGAGAAAGCGTGACTGTCTAAAGGACTTTGTCTCGGACTTGGGGGTCGGAAGGCCGTCAGTGCCGATAACAGTGTTGTTTCCCGAACTGGTGATGCGAAAAAAATTCTTAATTCTCTGAGGAAAATCTTTTGAGCCATTCGTCTGCCGTGAGGAGCTCGACATGCCAGAAAAGTTCCGTTTCTCATTGTGCATCGCGGAGGAACTCGAGGATGAAGAGCTGAAGAGCTGAGTCATTGTGGCCGGCGGATCCACTCAATGTCGAAGCTGTACAAGGGTTGGTTGTGTCTCGAGTGCCGTAGATGTATTAGGTGGTTTTGTTGAAGAAATTTCTCTGGATCTGGTTGTGGAGGAATGTAGATCAATGTGTTGGTGGACCCATGATTGGTATGGACTTGGCTGGATGGCCGAGTGGGTAAGGATCGTAAAATGTAGAACTAGCTAGACGTCGTTATGAGGTCAGACTGAAGTTGATGTAGAAGAAAGGTACACAGGTAGTGGTTCCCCTGGAATGTCTGAAAATAGAGGTACGAGGGTACCTTTGTCGTTGCTCACTAATTCAATGACAGGGGCACGAGGGGTTCGGCCGAGCTTGCAGTGGGGTCCGGTGGCGGGATTCGAGAGCAACCTTCACTGGGCTCAAAGGAATCAACTAGTAATTACTCATATGGACAGACATTTAGAGGCACTTCCCTGATGATAATCATGTTAGAACCGAAGCTGGAAGTCCGTTGAGCCCATACGTTTCTATGCGACCAAATGGGGGTTGCGGGGTACTTTCTCCGCCGGAGAATGAACACCTATGGGACTAGGCTTACAACATATGGGAAGCTGCGCTCAACGACCATCGAACTGGGACCGCACAGGCAATGGAAGATGCGATTAATTTGGTCGTGAAAGAATGGCGAACCCCACTTTGCTTAATGTTATACACGCTAAGCATAGCTATCGCACAATATCACGTACTGCCAGGCCCTCCGATCAGGTTGAACCTTCTCACGATGCTTGGCCCAATCTCATCATATTCTGCTTTGGTATGACAGTAACTCCTGAACTCAGGGGTCTGCCCCAGCAAGCTTCCTCCAAACCATGGGCCATGCCGTTGCCTCTTATGCGTCACAACCTGCACTTCCAGACCACCGCTCTTCTTTCCGCCACTTCGGACTTCGGATGCTCGAATTCTCGCGTCCACCATATGCTTGATATCCCGTTGTAATCGTCTGCCGAAATCTTTGTACAGAGTGGAGCCACCTGAGAGCACGATGTTCTTGTAGAGACCTCTCCTGACATCGATTGGCGACGATTGAATGACCCCATCGACAACCGTAGGTAGCGGTGTGAGAAAGTCGGAGGAATAGATTTCGGGGTTGAAGAAGATCTCAGGGGCCAGAAAACGCTCATACCCGACGTCCACGGTAATGCTTCGTCCATTTGGCGAGGTGACCGTGTGTTTTAGGAATCGATCTGGCTCCCGGTCGAATCTTGAAAATTCCTTGACTATATCTGGACATACGTAACAGTATTCCTCTTTGACCCTCTCCGCGGTCTTCAAGCTGCTGTCTGCTTCCCCACGGTCTCGGAGCAGGGATTGTACAAAGTATGTGATGTCTCGGCCTGCGATAGGTATGCTCTTGATGGAGCTGCCGATAACATATCCTTCTGCTACCGGTATGACATGCGTTACTCCATCTCCTGAGTCAATAACAGTGCCGGTCAACGAACGATCTGAGACCTTGGAAGATGTCCACGAGGCTGCCAGCGCAAGGACAGCTTGCACGGCAATGTAGAGACCGGCGCAATTGAAAGACTCAAACATGATCTCTGCGGTATTCTCTCGATTTTCGGGTGGGTTCAATGGCTATACGTTGTTAGTGGTAGCATGTTGTTATAGGCAGAAGGGACGAACAGGTTCCGTGAGTAAGAAGTAGTGGTCTTCCGGTTCGACGCGAAGGTATTTGAAGATTGAGTTGGACCAGAAGCGCTCCATGTAATCCTACATATGTCAGCTGGTGCATCCCGGCGCCAAAGTTGGGGAGACCAACCCAGTTTTCAACTTGTCCATGCCTTACAGGATAATGTATGCCATAGCCTACTGGAGTCAGTTCAGGGCCGAGCGCCATCCAGTATATTTCTCATACCAGGCCCACTCGCTGCAGCCAATGCCTCGTCTCCAATGAAGAAATCCAGATCCTCAGTACCCCTCTTCGAAGACAAGGCACCACCAGAACCTGTTCCCCCAGTGAGGAACGAGGGCTTGTTTGCAACGGCGGGTCTTCCAGACCCAGAGCCACCAGCTCCTCCAGGACCGCCTTTTGTTGCTATTGCTGTTGGAAAAACGAAGGAAGGAGAATCATTGCCCGCAAAGCCTAGTATACATCAGAACCAGCGCAAATTGTGCTAGTCTTGTAACTGAAGATACATACCCAGCTTTGAGAAACCTGTACCACTGCTCCAATATTAGCATATTGGACTCTGCAAAGTTGTAGGCATGCCTGACGCTTACTTGTCGATGACAACGGCCGGCGTTTGCGATGCCATGATCGCTCAGATCGTTGCCTGAAGCTTTTCAAAACCAAATCTCTGACCTCAGTCGTCTGGGCAGAGAACAACAAGATGCTGCCTCATGTCCATCGCTGTTTGCTGTATGCGATAGTCGGAAAGCATAAAGTAGGTGGGAAGCCTAAAGTATGCTCTCGCCTAAAGTAACCGCGCGTCATTTCGGGATCGGCCAATCCATCCTCCGGGGTTTCTAGCACAAGCCAGCACCAAATCTTGCAGCACACCAGGTCAAACAATTGTCTGTCTCTACGGAATGGCAGTAAGTTTCCTATCAATCTTCTCGGCTTGGACGCCTTCTTCCTAGAATATGCGCTTTGGGTCCGATCGCTGACTGGACACAGTCAGTCCCAGTCAACCCGCGGCCCATGCTGCAGTCACTGTAGGTCTACTTCGCACTGACCTCCCTCAGGATCTCTGTGGCCTGGATGTCGATTTGTGTTTAGGTCCCAATCTATGTCTTGACATAAGGCCCTTGCGCGCATGTGGAGACTACCGGCTAACGGTCCCGCTCATCTACAGAGTCAACGAGCCAGTCATAATCCGTCTCAAATGGGGCCAGACCGAATATCACGGTCGCCTAATAAGCGTCGACTCGTACATGAACATCCAGCTGTCGAATACAGAAGAGTTCATTGATGGCAAAAGCACAGGTACTTTGGGGCAGGTCCTGATACGGTAAGCTAGGAAGCTTGATGGGGGCCAAGGCGCGTTGAGGAGATGAAGTACAAGTGCTGATTCGTTGAGTATCTAGGTGCAACAACGTTCTTTGGATATCAGGTGGGAAGGGTGCGAAGCAGGAGGACGTGTCGATGGAGGGATAGAGGATCATGGGAAGTCTGATGATTAAGATGGATTGAGGAAAGAAAAGGCTGTGTTGTTGCGGAAGATTCACAACGATCAGTATTTGTCCAGAGGGCGAGCGAAGATTGAGGTTAGAAAAGTTTAATCGTCACAGCCGCTTAGAACGTGGGCTCTGGACGCCTTGCAATGATACCCACGGATTTGCTGCTGCGAGAGCCTCGTCTCGCTCGTATTACTGCTCTCTGGCCCTCCAAGTGCCACTTCTCCATGAGCACCAACGATATTTTGACGCATTTGTGTTATACTTCTTTATATAATTTGCGGGACTTGTTCGGTGGCCTCCGCATGTCAACTCGTTGTTGCTCTGGGTTGTTGATCCAATCAATGATGTCACAATGTAAGCTGCTCATGACTGCGATTCTTGCCTGCTTCGTATTTTGCGTCCTGGCTTGACGAGAAAGTACGGTGTCGATGATAGCCAACTCGTGCTCACTCAGAGATCTATAGATTGTTGTCGGCACTAATCTCAAGAGATCAGTACTTCCCTAGAGCGTGCGGAACGCCCCGACCCCGATGGTCAGCCCCTTCCTGGCTTTATATCCCCGAACAGCTCCCTGGGTGCAAATTGGATGGTGAACGTGAAGTGATCTGACTGCGACGCACGTCCGAGACAGACTGGACAGACCGCATGGCCTGAAGAGCCAGCGTCCTAATTTGAGTCCATAATGCCTATGATTAGACTTGCTAAAAGCGCTCGCGCTTTCCATGTGGTTGCCACGCTCGAAGGAAGACAGACTCCGTGGCGTTTTGATGACGGATACCGTCACTACTAGAGATCATCCAAGCGCCAAACAAGGAAAACAGACTGGGAACTTCTTGGACGATTATATGACACGTCCAAGGGTCCCCTTGCGGAGCACGAATAATCAACGCGCACGTTGACACTGCAAGGGCGAACAAAGCACGAGGCACGTTGGGCAATGATTGGCAGCGAGGCACTATTGGGAGCAGGGGCTTCGTACCACAGCATAGCCTTTCTGCATGAGCGATAAAATTGACATGCGATCCAGACAGTCTGAGCACTTTGATTCTGGAGACGGCTCCGTGCTCTGCAGCAGAGGTCAGATGTATACTCTCCGGGTGCCAGGCTCCATGTTCCTAACTTCTTTCCGGGCTCCCGCCGCATCCTCTGGCTTGCCCTTGAAACCTCCTGAGCGAGTAGATTGTCAATGTCCTCCAACCAGTGCAACCTGTAGAACGGCACCTCGAGAAACGTGGCTACCAGAAAGGTGTAGATTAGAGCGTTTGAAAGAATTCAGGAACACGTCGCAACAAAAAGCGGTCAACAAAGGGAATCAAGATCCTTGCGGATCTTCCCCGCCCGCCTGGTGCGCCGAGCCCTACGGCATCATATCTTTTCCATATCTTTCAAATGTCAACCCTTCCCTCTCCCTCCACTGATGAAGGCTTCCCAAGCCGTCTGCCAATGTTCAACTCATGTCAAAACCTTCTCCTGCTTCAGAAAACTCCTCACCTCCTAAATTGGTGAGGTCTTTTGGGGCAGCCTGTGACAGCAATCATGTTCCGAGCACAACATCCAAGGCGAAGCCAGAGGCGATAACGGGCTCCGCGCTCGCTCAGCATGATGAGGCAGACGCAATCCCACCAATAGCAGACAGTTTCAATCACGAGAATGGCCATCCTCATACTCTGAGCAGCAATGGCGTGCTCGATGATTATGAGGGAAGCGACCCAAACACCCCGCGCCTTCCTCCCACCAACTTAGGCAATACCGATCTTGAGAATATTCCACAGGAAGCCGCGGTATCATTAGATCTCCCAGATCAACCGTATCCAGGCTCAGTCTCATCTCGACTAGATTTCAAAAGATATCCATATCCTTCCTCCGGAGCAGCAACTAGCCTCTTCTCAAGCTCTCTTTCAGAACCCGGCACACAGATTCCTGATAAGCCGACAGGGTATAATCAAGCATTGCCGGCATCTTCATACAGTCAAGACAGGTCGCACATCAGATCTTGGCTGGAACAGTCTCAGCAAGCTTACAACCATCCTCCTGCCAACAAGATTACACCGCTGCCATACATACCGCGCACCAAGTCTAACGGAATCGCAAACAGCACACGCATGTCAGGAACATGGGGTCAGGAGGGGGTACAGACTCCGGTTGGGCCAAGTCGCGAGCGTCATTCGGCTATGGGAGCAAGAGAGGAGGCCTTTTCTGAGGAGAAAAGGAATCGCAGTTCTAGCCGTAGCAGTCAGAGCCGCGTTGAAAAGAGAATTGAGGCAACCATGGCAGATGCGGAGCCGTCTTCGCACGCCAGAAGCCGGAAATCAAGCCACGTGCTTGGTCTTTTCAAAGAGAACAAATCTTCCCATGACATCAAAAAGGGCCAGGAGAGACAGAGAACAAATTCAGATAACGATATCGATCCCTTTCCTGGTGGGACCGGCACGCGAGCAGATGAGGCCTTCAGATCGGGGCATGAGGGTCGACAAGTCCTCAGCGAGAGCCATGACAGAGACGAAGCTTCAGGGTCTCTTGAGGAGCCCCTTCTAGTACGCTCCTCGCAGGAACAGAGACATACCCAGCAAAATAAACAGCCTCAATTGCATCAGCAATTGTCGCGAACATCTTCGACCGCAAACCCCAGCGCCAACGGCCTAAGAAAGTCTCAAAGTGACACAGACCTCGCTATAGACGATTTCAGACCCGCAATATTAAAAGGGCAGGAAAAGGCTGAGGTTGTAACTGAACACAACATTCCTGCGCGACTCCTTGAGGAAATCAGAGATTATCACAATCTCACTACGCCGTTCCACGACAAGTTTAGGCTTACTCAACCCAAGTCTACAGGCATCAGCCTCATGTCGAAAGACAAACAGAATACTAGACAGTACCGAGAGGCCCAAAGTCCTAGAGAAGAGGGTTCTGACATGGCAGATCTACCAAAATTAACGGGGGAGCCAGAGAACGAAGAAGACGAGTCTGAGCACATCTCATCAGCTCTCTACTATCCCCATCAGGCGCCTTCCCCAGACGCCTTGGAGGATATCAGTATTGATGATGCGAGAAAACGCAAAGATGCTCAATTAGAAACAGAGTCAAATCTGCCAGATCCAGCATTGCCGATCACATGTGAGGATGAAAAAGCTGAAGATGTTGACATAGCACTACAAGTCCACAACAAGAACCGCTACTTGCATGGGGACTTACAGAAAGCTCGCCCATCCTCTGCAGAGCCGGATACCGATGGATATTCAGAGACCGGATTCTCATCAGCTTCAGATTCTGAGTACGAATCCTTAGACGAGACCAAGGGCTCAACTCTAAACGAAGACTCCAGTCTGACAGACGATGCCGAGGCAACACCAAGAGCGTCGCCGAAAACCAGGCAATCTTATCTGCTGGCCCGGTCGCGAAAGGCCCATCGTGGCCCTAAAGCCCCTTTAGGTGCGGTCGAACTGAAACCTTACAATCATCAAGTAGGCGGACATACAACGGTGTTTCGATTCTCGAAACGTGCAGTCTGCAAACAGCTCACGAATAGAGAAAATGAGTTCTACGAAGTCATTGAACGTCAACACCCTGATCTCTTGAAATTTCTACCTAGGTATGCTCATTACAATTCTCAACAGATGCGTGCAAGCTCCAAAATCCCGAATATTTAGGCATGCGCAGCCTTCTCCTTCGCAAGTTCGAGTTGGTGTCATTTGCTAATTGAGTTGATTAGGTACATCGGAGTTCTGAATGTAACTTATCGCAAAGCGCCCAAGACTAAAAGGGCGAATGTGGAAGGCGAAGTGGCTTCAGCAGAGGGTGCCGCGAAGCCATCGCCCGGACTTGAGCGTGATGAGCCTGAGATTGGTCTGGCTTCTCTAGGCGAGAATCGCAGTCAGCCTCACCCAGAATCTAACCTTCAGAGTTCCGAGGAGCCGCCTCGAATGGTGAGTCGCTCACAGCAAAATGGACCTGTCCCTCAGGTCATCTTTGCGAATAATCGACACATCATCCCCGAAAATTTGTATCCACTCCCGTCACGTACCAGTGGGTTAAGTAGTGGAGTATCTATCAGTGATCACAATTCGCACGTTGACCAGAATGCTCCAGGTGGACAGGGCGGTGGTTCCGGGTTGGGAGACCAAGTCAATGGACAAGAAGCCCGACCATCGCTTCACAAGCACAATGCTAGTTGGGGCGCTACTACAGTGAATACGAAGTTGCAGGAACAGATTCTTCGCGAGGTCTTCGGCCCGCCAATTCGTCGCCGACCTCGAAGCGGACGTCAAGGGTTGCAGAGAGTAATTGAAGAAAGTGACCATAGGCGTCCGCCTACGAAAGGAACATCGATCCTCAGTCCAATACATGACAAGAGTCAAGGTGAACTAGATACCAAGGACGCTAACACAGGTTTAAAGTCTGAGGCGACGCTGGAGGCAGGTGCCGAGAGTTCATCCCTGTCTCAGCAATGTCATGACGACTTGGTCCGTCAAAGTCAGCCAGCTAATGCCAAAACGGAAGACCTTCAGACAGGCTTAGCAGTCAATGGGGAATCAAACGGCATGCCAATATCTGAGTCTCGAATAATCCAACGACGCCGTTCAGATGTGAATTTGCGCCGCAAGGGCAACATGGACAGCAATGACCGAGGTGAGCTGGAGTACTATGAAGATGGGTACGGGGGTGACGAAGAGGATGCTATGTTTGCCATGGATATGGATGTTCCATCCGCGGCTGGAGCTCTAGCGAAGAGAGAACGTCCAATTCCTACTGACTCTCAAACGCCGGGCAAGTCCGATGATGGTCAAGGCCAGAACACATCGAATGCTGCCAAATATTCTTCCCTCGCCCACGATTCCTTCGGGATGGAAAGGCTTTCTTTGACGCCCTCTAACCCCAAGCAAGCTCAGCTTCAGCCAGATGAGAGGGTCCAGCACTTTTTATTGCTCGAAGACTTGACATCTGGCATGGATAAACCTTGTGTGCTGGACCTGAAGATGGGCACTCGCCAATACGGGATCGATGCTGACGAAAAGAAGAAAAAGTCCCAACGGCGCAAGTGTAAAGCGACTACTTCACAGCAGCTCGGCGTCCGTCTGTGTGGTATGCAGGTATGGAACGTGAAGGAGCAGTCTTATCTCTTCGAGGACAAGTACTATGGACGAGACCTGAAAGCTGGTCATGAATTTCAGGCCGCTCTTACTCGCTTCTTGTATGATGGGCTCTCCTATACAAGCGTCTCCACACATGTTGCAATTCTATTGGAGAAGATATCCAAGCTTGAGGACATCATACGGGACCTTCCAGGCTATCGCTTCTACGCCAGCAGTCTACTCATGCTTTATGATGGCAGTGTCAAAGGGAGTCCCGAATCAGCAAAGACAGGACGAACTGCTTCGGGGGACACTCACCGAAAGGCAAAGTCGAGCATCAACATCAAGATCGTCGACTTCGCCAACTGCGTTACTGCCGAAGATGAGCTGCCCGAGAGTGTGCCATGTCCACCTCACGATCCTGATGGGATCGACAAGGGCTACTTGCGAGGGTTGCGTTCGCTGAGGATGTACTTGAAGCGCATTTGGAAAGATGCTAAGTATCAAGAGGACGCGGAAATGGGCAGAGCAGAGAGCTTAGTTACCATGCCATCAACCTGGAAGGCTGATGACCCTGCGGAAGATCAAGGTTACGTGAGCATGTGAGATGCGTTGTCTCAGAAGCTTTGACAGGTCTACGTTGATGCATTTGATCGGAGCGAGTTTCGTGGGCGGCAGACTATACCCATATTGCGTTGCTACAGTATGCATTCCTTTCGCCTTCACTGTACTTAGCTTTACCATCATGCATAAAACGATTATCACTTCACCTTGTGACTGAGTCTTGATGTATCCAAATCCACACTAGTACTAGCGTGCATCACCTGCGGCCAAATTGTCGGCCCTAAGGTACGGAGTACATATAATCACGACAGGTGAGGCGATCAGGCAGAGATGCATCGGACAGGCTGGGAAACGAGAAAAGAAAACTTCTCCACCTCCATAACTCTCCCTCCCGCTCACAGTCACAATGAGCAGAATCAATGATGCCCTCCCGCAGCTCCAGTCGCCCCTCCAATCCGCACATCGACAAGCTCGACTTCGACTCCCACCGACGCCCACCAACCTCCCATGACTCCCTCCAATCCTCCCGCCCCGCAGGCCTTCTTCTCCGCGACGACGAATCCTTCTTTAGCAATATCGTCGACGGCGTCATCGAGCGCGACCGCAAAAAAATGAGACGCCACGTGCTCAAATACGCAAGCTTTGCCAGCGCAATCCTCAGCTGTTTATGCGCGGGGAGCATCACCGCGTATTCATTGTACGGACCGTTGTTCCTGAAGCATTTGAGATATAGCCAATTCCAGGTCAACGCAGTGAGCACGACCGCGGAGTTGGCGATGTATCTGCCCGTGCCACTGTTTGGGTATCTCTGCGACCGGTATAATCCAAGACCGCTGTCCCTTGTCGCGGGACTGTTCTTTGGGGTTGGATACCTGCTCGCGGCATTGACATATCGTGCTGGGCCGCCGCGAAGTGAGGGAGGATGGCCGTTTACGATTATGGTCCTCGCCTTTGTGGGAGTGGGAATGGGTACGAGCTGCATGTATCTGAGCGCGGTGACGACTTGCGCGAAGAATTTTGGCAGGGGAAAACATAAGGGGTTGGCGCTGGCGATGCCGATTGCAGCGTTTGGGCTGAGCGGGATGTGGCAGAGTCAGGTTGGGAGTCATTTCTTCGCTCAGAAAGAGGACGAGAGGAATGGGGATGTGGACGTATTCCGATACTTTCTGTTCCTGGCAGGGCTACTGTTTGCCGTGGGCATGGTAGGGGCGGTGGGCTTAAGGGTTGTGGGGGAGGAAGAGATGATCGATGATGCTGTGGACGAAATGGAAAGGGATGGGTTGTTGGAAGACAGCACGTATCTCCAGCGTTCGCTACTCCACGATGGCGAGAACGGCAGTGGCTACGGCACCCTTTCGCCACATCACCATGACGCAGAAGCGTCCTCTCCGGCCACAAAAGCTCACAACTCAGAAACCGCTCTCAAAAAGACCATGGTCTTGAATACCGAAACCCGCATCTTCCTCACGGATCCCACAATGTGGCTCCTCGCCGCCGGCTTCTTCCTCACCACGGGCCCTGGTGAAGCCTTCATCAACAACCTCGGCACTATAATCCACACTCTATACCCGCCCTCGGCCTCCATACCCCCATCCAACTCGCCCGCAACACACGTATCCATCGTCGCCCTCACATCAACCCTCGCGAGGCTGCTCACGGGCACATTAAGCGACCTCCTCGCCCCCACCTCCTCCCACTCCGACGCCCAAGCAAAAAAGACCTTCACAATCTCGCGAATGTCGTTTCTCCTCACCAGCACCCTCCTCTTCTCCCTCGGCCAACTCATCCTCGCTACCACGGCCATCCAATCGCACCCACCACTCTTCCCCCTCGTCTCCGCCCTCGTCGGCCTCGGCTACGGCGCCATCTTCTCCCTTTCCCCAATCATCGTCTCCGTCGTATGGGGCGTGCAAAACTTCGGCACGAACTGGGGGATCGTGGCCGTGGTGCCGGCGGCCGGGGCCGCGATCTGGGGCGCTGTTTATTCCGGGGTGTACCAAGCCGGCGTGGAGAGGTCGCAGATCATGGGCGAGGAGGAGCAGATGTGCTATGGGGCTCGGTGCTATCGGAGTACGTTTTGGGCGATGGCGGTTGCGAGCTGGGTGGCCGTGGGGTTGTGGGCGTGGGCGTGGAGGAGGTGGCGCGCGAGGGATATTGCTGTCTGAAGCGTCGCGAGTGGGGTTGTCTGGGTTCGGATTCGTGCATAGGATGGACCGGACTGAGGTTGAGTACCGCGTGTTTGCACTGAGGGCGGGCATAGCGGCATAGTATGGAATTAATCTTAATGTCAGTGTATGGTGGACAGCACTTGGAGATGGATCGGACAGTGAAAGTGTTGGTAGTCGTTCGCTCGCACTGGGGTATCTATTACAGCACTCGCTCGCTAGATGACGTTGAATATATACAATCCCTTCCAACACCAGTACCTAGCTTTTATGGCCCGAGGCACTCTCTGCACCTCTGACAGTCTAACACATGACCACTGCCTCGAACATCATGAACTCCCCTTCAAGATACTCCTATTCCCAGCCTCCCGCTTCCTGCTCGAATTGCCTTCCCTCCTCGCCTCAACTTCTACGTCCCAGTTTCCCAGAAAGCTTTCTGCTTCCTCAACTGCGGCATTTAGATCCCAGGTATTACCCTGCCTCTGTCCATCACCACCAGCATCATCAAAGCCAAAGGGGTCGAGCGGAAGACTGATATCGTAGTGTGGGAGGTCTTGTCGCTGTTGGCCATCCTGCTGATATAAGCTAGTTCCCGTTAACGTTCCATTTGGCAAAATGGAGAAAGACGTCAGAGATGATGGGGGCTTGGAGTTGCTGGTGGGATGGGAGAGCGGGATCGGCGGGGGCGACTTCTCAGGAGATGGCGAGGGCGTCGAAGATGGTGATGTAGACATGCCAGGGGAGTGGGTGCGAAATTCGGCCGTAGTCGGAGATTCGGGAGAAAGGATTGGCGCTTGGGTAGGAGATCTTGCCTTCCTTTTCTTTGTGGGAGAAAGAATGATGCTGGTACGCTGTTGGACAGCTGGAGAACGCTTCTTGATGGTAGTGACAGCGAAAGGTGACATAGCGTCTACCATCGCTTGGGTACTCATTGGCTCTGCGTCATCGCTGTCGGAAAGCTTTATAAGCTGAGCATTAGCAGCTTCGGTCTCGCGTCGGCCATGAGCCATTGGCGTGATTTCTGCTTTCCTGGACATGGACCCTACGGAGGTTGACTCTTCTCTCTTGGGGCGGCGAGGGGTGAGCGCTGAGACAACATCAGCTTGGAAAGAACGTTGAGCCTTCAATGCTGCAGCCTGTGTAGACAGATCGAGATACGAATCGCCTTCCTCAAAGCTCGGGACTTTCGGTGATTGTTTGTCGGTCTCTAAGAGATCTGTAGAGGGTCCTGAGGGCGCTTGTGCAAGGGGTGGATGTGCAATTGGATCTGTCTGAGCTTCTGGGAAGATGATCGAATTTCGAGACCGGTTGCCATTAGTGAGAGACCGAGCTGAAGACTTGGTAGACGTTCTGAGTAGTATAGGAGGATCATTCGACAGAGGCTTGTCTTGATATTCTATCTCAATCTTACCACATTCGGCTGTAGACGAGCTTGAGTTAGGCTTTGAAGACGTCCGCGCTGAAGCAACTTTAGCTCTACCCGAGGGGGTGAATGTGAGCCTCCTCAATGTTTGTCTATTCTTCTTCACGCTTTTGGTCTCTGGGCCTTCAATGGCAGGACTAGACGATTTAGACGATGCAAATGATTTAGAGGCTGCTTTCTTTTGAGCGGCCTCGAGTGCTTCGGCAAATGCGCTACTTCCCGATGAGGAGGATGAATCAGATCTCGATCTGGTTTGAGGCTGTTCAGGCGCATCGACGAAAAGAGCTCTTTGTGGTGATGTAGAGGTTGACGTCCCCTTGCTGGCATAGCGGTATTGGAACTCGGGCTGATATGTAGATGGCGGCACTGCGTGCGGCGAAGGCTTCGGCTTTGGAGCCTTTGCAGCTCTTAAGGCAGCACTGCTAGCGGCATCATTGCCTAAAACAGCTTCTGACACATATGGTGTCAATCGGCTCGGGCTCTTTTTCTGGTTGCTCTCGAGTGCCCGCGCCACTGCTTCTTCAGACAATTTCTTTGCTTGGAGCTGCCCATCTTCTATTTCTGCTCGTCTAACAGCTCGTTGGGAGAGTCGTTTGACCTCATCGTAGCCACATCTAGTGAGGGTATCTGTTTTGGAGAGGCTTCTTTCCCTGACATTGAAGGGCATGTCACTGGCTATGTCTATTGCGCTTGGAAGTAGGTCGGCCGTTGCAAGCTCGACGGTTTCCACGTGGGTTTCCTCACTCGCCGCTGATGTCGTACTCCTGTTTGTATGCCCAACGTTAAGCCCGTGTTCCTTGCTCCGTGAAAGGCGCTTTCGGTAATTGGACCCGGGAGGCAAGGTTGTCGCTCTAACCAAATTATTGGGGTGCGGAGAAGACGTTGCATGGGACTTGCTCCGGAGTTTGGCTGCTGGAGTTGGCGTAGAAGACCTTGTGTGCTCCCTTAAGCATGCTTGCGGATAGGCCTTGTCCGTCTTGAGCCAGTGATACTGATCCCTATCGGGTGCAGCGACTCCTTGGTCAACTTTTCTCTGGCTCCCATGATAGCCAGGCGGTTCGTCGAGCTCTCCATGCCGTCTCCGTTTGGCCGTAGGCTCCTCTTGCCCTGACGCCTCTGTGACTAACCGTGCTCCGATATCTGAACCGCAGTCGAGCAATCCGTAGCCAGAGACCGCAACAGATCTCCTTTTTTCGGTGCTTGGGTCCGCCTCCATATGTGAATGCCTTGGGAAGGCCTCCGTTCCCGCCTCGGGAAAGCGCCTAATGTCATCGATCCCGTATTTCCTTTTCTTGCTTCTCCACGGATTGACCCATCCCTTCTCGAAAGGCCCTCTCAAGCCCGCACTTATTATAAATAGCGGTCTCCCATTTAGGTATTGTTGCCCCTGGATCTCCACTCGCAATCTCTTCCTTTCACGCTCATCTGGTGTTGCTTCTTCATCTGATCCAGGGTAGAGAATGTCTTCGGGTGGGGTATATAAGGGTTCGCAAACGAGTGGTGATGTAGGTCGTTTCATGAAGGTTTGGACCATAGCTGCGTCAACAAGGGGTGTATCAAGGGGGCACGTGAGGCGAGAGCAGGGAATGAGCTCTGCATTCGCCGTCAGTATCGAGGGCTTAGATTCATGTTTTGAAAGTCACCATCTGTTGTGTATTATGAGCCATGGTCAGCCTTCACAATGAGTCAAAGGGTCGAAGAGTCGAAAGCTCACTTTGCCATGAATAGGCAGCGGGGGCGCTTGTCTGTTGCTGTCGTGACGGTATCGCGTAAAGCTTCTTGGCGCTAATGCAACCACTCTCGCCACTCTAGTACAATATCAGCCCTACGGCCAATATTCCCTCAATCATACTCTCTCCGTGACCATAAGAATGCTCCATTTCCTTTGCACTTGATTTACTCTGAGAACCGCCGAAGCCCATGTATTGAGTAGTGCTGGACTTGATTATCTGCAAACATTTTTGTCTTCTCTACTTATTTTTTTAAAGAATTGGGCTCTTAGGCTTGGTGCTAGAAGTTGTGGCAGTCTGGCCCAAGTGTACAAATCTTCAACGGCAACAGAAATTTTAACGTGGAGCTTCTTGCGCTATTTAACGTCTTTCCTGAAGGTTGTTTACCAGACGATATATTGTCACAAGTTGATACTCAAGTTCATGTGAAAACGAGAGTTTCAACTCCTCAAACTGCCATTTTTGTTTGACACCTTGCCAGGCTCAGCCTTTAGAACAAGACTGTGCTCCAAACATGGACATTGGATACAATGCGGCGCGAATCCTTTATCTTCCCTTCGAGTTGTGGGGCTCAGTTTGTCAATGGCTTAAAAAGGACGATATTAGGAGCACACGCCTAGCGTGCAGACTCTTCAATGAGGTAGCGTCCCCGTTCCTATTGCAACGGGTATGGATATCTTCAAGTTCCGAGGACCAGAAGACTCTGACAGCTATTTCGCTGCATCAAGTATTCAGCAAGTACGTCAAGGAGATATACTACGATAGCACTATATACGACCCAGATCTACTCACCATTTTCAACGATGATAGGTCTTATGGAAAATATATACGCAGATTCCTAAAAAATAGATCGAGGACCATCTGGCCGAAGAACGCATTACGATATGCTATTTCTCAGTATAAGGTGAGATGCAAAGAACAGATTGAGCTCCAAGCCTACGAGGGAGCGCACCTAACGCGGTCATCAGACGCTCCGCCTAATTTTGGGTCTCTACTTACAGCCGCGAAAGGAAGCGAGGAAGTACCACATCGCCTAGATGTCGATACATTTGACAGGTATCTACCTGCGGACCTTCTATGCCTTCTCCGCGCTCTCCAACGCATGCCAAGTGTGAGAAATTTTGGCATCTCTGACCGTCGATGGTCAGAGTCCAAGTACTGGTGGCACGACTGCCGAGAGTACGCTAAATTCTGCGATCTCAACGATAAATCCAACATTATTCACTCGGGGACAGTTCGATGTCGGCAGACAGTGCAAATTCATCCACAACACTGGCCTCATAATGCCGGTTGGCATGCCGTTGATTGGGAGCACTCCAGGTTTTGGTATCGTGGCTTCTACGTACTCACACAAGCAGCATCAATGTTGAACCTGAAGCAGCTTCGATCATTCGTCACTGATAGTGCAAAGCAGGGTATTTCATACACAGTGCTAGATATGGCCAGCACAGAGCTTATGCATACTTGCAACGCCTTTCGACATCTCGCAACTATCAGCTTGCAGATCGACACGCAAAATGGTAATTCCCAGTGGAATTGGATCAAGTTTTTGGGCGGTGGCAACGTTGCTCTAATGCTCACTGCTGCCCAGGGCCTTAAGCATCTGGACCTAGGGTTCGATATGCCTTACACCGAAATTCGTAAGCTTGCGAAGCTGCTTGGACACCTTGCTTGGCCGTGTCTCCAACATGTCGGCCTGAGCAACATGATCTTGGAGGAAGATGAGCTCGTGGCTTTCCTTAAGAGGCATATCAGCACACTTGAATCGATCTCCCTGGACTACATGATTCTTTTCAAACACCACCCTCAAGATCGCATATTTGGAGATTGGACCCCAAAGTCATGGAAAGGTGCATTCCGAAGCATGAGCGTACTGGCTCTGAACAATCTTTGTATTTCCATACCTCTCAGCGACGGCGAACCATGTTCAATGCGAGGTTACTGGCATGGTGATGACCCCGCGAAAGTTAACCGCTTCCTGGCCTCTGGTGGATACACAGGGTTTGCTGAAAATGAACTTCAGTATGATCAGGAGCAGCAGCGACAATGGCTCCAGGCACAGTGGGAGTATGAAAATTTGGATCGAGAATAGGCGCATTCTCGTTTGCGACATTAGAGAAGAACCTCGTACTGTTGGCACCAACACCACGTCATGTCAAGTATGTCTAATTGAGTCGTAACGACCTGCTACCATGATGGAAGGCCATCTACCAAACCTAGGTCGCCACTCCATTCTTTCCATTCACAACGTTCTTGGTCAACTCGCTACCCTTCTCCGGATGAGCCTCGAATGAAGTCTCTGTCGGACGTTCAGCCTGTGGAGTAATTCTTGCCAGATGACGCCGCTGGCCGTTCGCCCAATCGAGCGTTGCAGAGTGAGCCGTCACGCGGTTCTACAACCCATTGCATCAGCGACCGTCTGCAACAAATGGCAACCTGTTATGCTTACATCCCAGACAACTACAGTCCTGGGTGCCCATTTGACTCGGGCCTGGAAATCCTGGCCCAGGGCGATATGGTCGTATAGGAACTTCAGCAGGAAATCACTCTCTTCCTGCTTATACCCAACGATGTGGCGAGTGACTGTTGCGATGGTGTCAGCCGATCTCAGACAGACGAAGACGCATGACTTACATTGCGGGTTCACATAAATTGCTTTCTCGCCAGTAGCCTGCAAGTAGAGTCAATATTCACACAGGGGAAATCCGGAGTCGAAACACTTACGGGATGTGTACGGATCACTGGATGTATTGAAGTCACCGGCTCCCTCCGCACAATGCTACCTCGGCTCTTGCTATTCTGAGCTTGCTCGTGTCCTAGGGTCGAAGCATCAGCCCCCCACTCGGAATCTAGTGAGCTCATGCCACAAGCATACCAGAATGCAATGCCCTCAACCCATGCAACCTCTTTTGGAACTCTGGACTCAGACGATTGTACGCCTCAGCCTGATTCGAGAACAAAGTATCTCCGCCTGCCGTAGGCGTGTCGAGAACATAGAGGAACGAAGTGCCAGGTGGCTGGTTCTCATACGTCACGTCAGAATGCCAGGTGACGGTATTGGTCCTACTTTTGAGAAGCCCCATTGCAGTATTGTCGTCCGCACCGCGATGGACCAGGTGCACTTCTGGGTAGCCTTTAGGAGCGCCACTAGTGGGATGGATGTGCAGGCGCCCGAAGTAGGAGCCGAAATCTAGTGCTTCACGGATGGGAAGGTCGGCTAAGTCTTGGTCGCGGAATACTAGAAGAGGAGCATCAGAGCCTGAGGATTTAGGCTGTGAATGGAAGAATTACCGACAACCTTCCTCTGCGCTGTGAAGAGGGCCAACTGGTCTTTGCCTTGTTTGGTCAGAGCGCTCAACTGGATTCCACGGACTTCAGAGCCGGTAGATGGTGTCAGCTCGGTGACTGAGGTGGCCTCGTGAAACATTTCCGGAGACATGGGATCGGCGTCCTTGCCATGCTCGTAATGCGTGAATGGCTCAAGAGGCGGATATCTATGGCACATGGTTGGTAAACGATACCAATATCAATCATGAAGCCTAGCAGGGATATACATGGTATCCGCGTCCCATACCGGTAGGTATTTTGGATGGGTCGCAGGAGGTTGTTTCTCAGTGCCTTGCTCTTCTGCAGTTTTGTTGAAGACTTGCGGTCCACCAATGAAGGCCTCTTTTGGTCCAACAGAAGCCTTCGCAAAATCCGAGGCAGGTGCCGTTTGGGGTGGGTCCACGATTCCAGGAGCCATTGTGAAAATTGCGCCGAACTGTGCTTGCTTCTTTGTCTCAAATTTCGTAATGGTGGCTTTGTTTCCCTAGTAAAGAGGATGGACCTAGAACAGTCGTTGAAGAGTGGGCTTATATCAATCGCTTGAAGAGGTCGCATGGATTGCCCGATATCTTGAACAAGAAGGTGAATATGCGTCGATCAGTGCATCATTGGATGATAAGATATTGCGAATACTTGCGTGCTTTGCCGGGATTCCTTGGTGCGAATGTTGACAGGTGCAGCGGACATGACGTTCGTTGTAGGACCTGCCAATCTTATCGCGCAAGCCGGAATGGCGTGCTTCCTGCCCCATCCAATCAGCCAAACTGAATATCGTCTTGCATGTAACCTGCATGTAAAATACCGCAGGTATTGTGCAATTGTTCTATCGCAATGCATCATTCAACCGCTTATAGTGGGTGTCTGCAGGTCTCAGATGTGGCAATGGCTTCGTATATATGTAGTCATGCCTTGAAAAGGCGCAATGCTACTGAGCCAGAAGACTCCGCCTGAGCGCATCCTTCTGCATCATGAGTATAACCAACGCGGACATCAAAGCTTCTGGAGAGATTGCTGTTGGCCCTCTTTTATCCAGAGCGCGCGGCAACTCCTCGACTAGTAGCAGTCTGGAGAAGGACGCATTTAAGGGACATCAAACACTCGACCATTCTCCGGGTACAGGCCATGGCATTGACCCGTCGAAGCATAATGCAACGTTTGAAACATTCGGTAATGAAACGTTCTACACGCCGATTGAGGACTATGAAGGGAAACATCGCTACGACCCAACTTTCGAATGGGAGCCCAAGGAGGAGAAAAAGCTGGTGCGCAAGGTGTGTGCACACTCCAACACCGTCAGTAACAGAATCGCCCAACGCTGATCTATCCAGCTGGATCTCCGCATCTGCTCCTGGGTTTGCCTGATGTTCTTTGCACTTCAACTCGATCGTGGCAATATATCCCAAGCCCTTTCCGATGACATGCTCAACGATCTCAAGATGAACACAGACGATTACAACACGGGCCAAACAATCTTCTACATTTGCTTTCTCTGCGCCGAACTGCCATCCCAATTGATTTCCAAAAAGCTCGGACCTGACCGCTGGATCCCGGTCCAGATGGTCTCTTGGTCGATCGTTGCAAGCATGCAAGCCTTCCTCAGCGGACGCTCCTCGTTCTTCGCTTGTCGAGCATTGCTGGGTTTGTTGGAAGGCGGTTTCATCCCCGACAACATCCTCTACCTGAGCTACTTCTACACAAGCCTCGAACTGCCCATCCGCCTCAGCTTCTTCTGGGTCTCCTACCAGTTCACCAGCATCGTCTCCGCCTTCCTCGCCTTCGGCATCCTCCACCTGCGCGGCCACCACGGCCTCGCGGGCTGGCGCTGGCTCTTCGCCCTAGGTACGTACATTTCGGAGCCGATCTTTCCCAGTTGGTATTGAATTTGAGTCGCAAGACATGTTTCGGGAGCAAAATGACCTTTCTACTCCCGAGATCTGGCTCGCAACTCCATTGCCTACCTCGTATAAGCAATGCTGACTCCGAATAATGCGCAGAGGGTCTCCTCACCGGCTGCATTGGTTTTATTTCCTTCTTATACCTGCCCCCATCGCCGACCCAGACCAAGAGCTGGTTCCGGGGGAAAGAAGGCTGGTTCGACGAGCGCGAGGAACTCATCATGGTCAACCGCATCATTCGCGACGATCCCAGCAAAGGCGACATGCACAACCGTCAGGCGCTGTCGCCGAAGGCACTTTGGTACAGTTTAACCGACTACGACATGTGGCCCATCTACCTCCTCGGCCTCTCCTGGCTGATACCGAATTACCCCATGACGCAGTACCTGACCCTTCAGCTCAAGGCCGCCGGCTTCGGCACCTTCGAAACCAACCTGCTCACCATACCCGCTTACGTGCTCTTCATCGTGCAGCTGCTCTGGTGGACCTGGGTGTCCGAGAAGACGGACCAGCGCTTCCTGACCGGTCTCGTCAGCCAAATCTGGGCGCTGCCGGTCCTGATCGCTTTGGAGACCATCTCCGGCCACACGGGGCCGTGGGTGAAATGGGCGCTGAGCACGCTGCTTGTCGGCTCGCCCTATGTGCACGCCATCATCGTCGCGATCACGAGTCGGAATGCGGGATCCGTGAGGACGAGGACCGTGGCGTCGGCGCTGTATAACATGTGTGTGCAGGCTAGCAGTGTGATTGGCTCGAATGTGAGTGCATCGTTCATCGCGCTTTATGTCGTAACGAGCGAGCTTGTTCGTTGTGGCTGATGGAATGACATGTCTTCTAGATCTATCGCAACAACGACAAGCCTCTTTACCGCACAGGGAATAAAGTCTTGATTGCAATCTGTGTCTACAACATGGCTCTTTTCATCGGCGCAAAGGTCTTCTATGTGGCCAAGAACCGGTATGTCACTCGTTCATTCTTTCTGCGTTGATGCACTAATGGTTTGCAAGCTCGCGCCGACAAAAGTGGGATGCGATGACGGCTTGGGAAAAGCAAAGGTATCTTGAAACGACGACCGATAGGGGGAATAAACGGTACGTGATCTTTGCACTTCTTGTGCTGGTATTGTGGGACTGATGGATGCGGCGCTTCTAGGCTTGATTTCCGATTTGCCCATTGAGGAATACTTCCTGAATTTGCTCTTCGTCTCAATGAAGCAAATCGACTTTCTGCAGGGTATATTTTCGCTCTGATTTCTTGCTAAAATCACCTTTTCCCCAATCTCGATCTTCCTTTCGGTACATGTTGAGCATTTGAGAATCTATTCCTGTTTCGAAAGCATATCGGGTATAAATTTATGACTCCCTGAAAACAGTCTGCCACCCAAGCTGTCGATATAAATCCACTTAGCCCAGCTGTACTCTCAGATCCTTCATTCATGCTGCCGCATAGTCAGTCCTATCAAACTCGCACAAAGGAATTGGAAGACTTATATAAAAAAAAGACGCCGCCATCCCCACCCGAAAGTAGAGACAGCAGCACCTGCCTCCTCGGCCCTCCATCACTACTTCCCTCACCCAGAGACCCCGTCACCGCCACCCGCCTCCCCATTCCCACCCCGCATCCACCGCTTCAACCCAACCACTCCTCCACCCAGCATCCTCCCAGCACCAACGCGCAAACCATCATCGTTGCCCCTCACGGCCCCAGCACCCGCCGCTCATCTCCGACACTTTGAACCCCCGAAACGTTCCACACGCCGCCTCTCCGCCGAGAAACACAACCAAGCTTCGCAAAAGGCAGACGGCCAGGGACAGACAAGCCTAAGCTTTGATCCTCACGCGAGAGAGGTCCCGTCCTGGTGTCTGTGATCCCTGAGCTCGACGAGATCGGACCCCAAGGCGGAAAGGGAGACATACTTCATGTCCCAGAGAGCCGCCATGCCGAGTCTGAACGGTGATGGGGGTTGGTGTCCGCGAGTGACTCGAGGCGATGGGTCAATGGTGACTGCTGAAATCTCTGGAGTTTGCTAGAATGAGAGAGAGGCTGAGCGTCCACGGTTTCTGCAAGAGAGTTCTTGTGAAGGCGTTGGCTTAGACTGAAGGCCTCCCATCACCAATTGTTCTTAAATGCAGTCAGCAATCTCGACTCAGAATGACACACCTCATTCAAAAAGCCGTCATCCCACCCCTCAGCCTCCTCACCGACCCCATCCTTCCTACTGCACAACTAACCACCTTCACATCCACGCCCATCTCTCTCCCGAATCTCTCTTTGTGTAATTGCAGTACCCTCAGAGACTAGTCTTTGATTTCCGCCTCCGCCTGTGACAGCAGAGGGGCATTGTATGAAGCGAACAAAGTACATCTCCAAAAACCGCTTCCATCTCCTATTGGAGGTATTCGGCCTGCACGTAGTGCAGACGACTTGATGTCGGCGCTCATCGATCGATACCCTTACGCAGATCGTAGGGGGAGATGATTGACGCGACTGGTCGGGACACGCTGTTTTGAGGCAGCGACTAGGCCGGTGGCTGGTGCCGTGGCGTAGGTCTTGTGAGCAAGGAGTGGGGAGGGGAAGTGGAGAGTGAGTTCCCTTGCGGGGTGTAGGGAATGTGTGCGAGAGGCCTTCGTATGATTGACAATTTATCGGAGCGTGACGTCGTGCCATGAGCTCTGCAGTGCTGGCACCGGGGATGGCAGAAGCGCTGAGAGCGGCTGCAAGACACATGACATTTCTTTTTGTAAGCGTAGACTTCGCTGCGCAAGCCGTCCATGTTCTAGGCCGAGGCCGTGGGAACATATGAAGGAGAGCACATCCGGCGAGTGAGTCTTTGCTGTGGGTGAGCCGAGGCTCGAAATGTATGTGTAACGCAACCTTTGTGTAAGGCAATTACCACCGTAGAAGTAAAGACGTGCTCGACATCTTTCAACATGACCACGAAGATCTCAAAGACAACCACAACATCGTGGTGCCCGACTCATCCCACCCACTGTCTTCCGCCCTTCCTCGGCCCTAACTTCAACAAAACATCCCGTAAATTACCAGAGCATGATGTCCAGCAAAAGATACTAAAAGCGCGTCCCCATCCAGAGATCTTCCCAATTACGGCGCTTCGTATCCCCCTTTACTGCCCTCGCGGGCTCTGGACGTCCAAGCCCGCTTTCACTTCTCTCCGCCCCGGTCCACTCCACCCTCAGGCAAAGTATCAAAGAAGCATCGAAAAGCTAGTCACGAACCCGACAGCTATATTCGCGAAACTTGCAATATTTATTTGCTCAACCGACGAAAACTTAGGGTTAAGTTCCGAAACCCATCCTCCCCGCACTACCCTTTACCCTCCCCCGAGGGAGAAGGCAGCACACTCGTGCAATCCGACCGCGATAAAAGCTCATGTGAGACCGTGCTGTGAGGCTCGAGGATTTGGGGGCGGCGGAAGGACGCGTGCAGGTGCGTGCGAGGGGCGTGGAGACATTCCGACGAGCGGAAGATGAGTCTCGGGGAACTGTTGGGAGGGTGCGCTGCGTGTTGTGTTTGTGCTCCTAAGGAGCGAGAGATTGGGAGGTGGAGATGTTTGGAGGGAGTGGCGCGTTGGTGGGAGGAGGTGGGGTGGGTATAGGTGGGGTTGATGGTGAGGGTTGGTCTGGAGGGTGGTAGGATGATTGATGAGGATGTGATCGAAGTTGAAGAGAAAGATGCCGTCTGCTTGTGAAGAGAGTTGCTGTGAGGAAGTGGAGGCAGGAGGTTGGTCTTAGCGCGATTGTGAGTTTAGCGCGTTTTGCCGATTCGCGCCTGCACGTGATCAACTTTCTGACGACCACAGAAAATACCTTTTAGGGTGATCTTTCTCGCGTATATAGTGGTCGACTTTGCTGCCCTTAGATCCTATTATCCAGCATCTGAGTCCCAGATATGTTCTGAAGCTGACTGTCAAGGCGGCTCAATAGGACGACTCCCCAAGATCATGCAAGATCCATCATAAGATAGCATCGTATCACACCGGCTTGCCGGGCATCAACAAACATATTTGACAGCGAAGAGCCTGTGCTAGGGTTTGGAAGGCTTGGAACCCTGCTAAGAGAAGTGATTGATATACATCTATGTACTCGCTAGCCCCACAGGAGGCAGTTCTCAAAGCGTTGCTTCGGTCCAGCTGCCTTGCCTCAAGAGCATGAAACTTTGTTGGTACCTGGTCGCTGGACAACGTACGGCAACCATGCATGAGATCTTCTCCGACCAGTTGCAGTCAAGGGCAACCGGCGGCCTTAACGGTCCTACGGTAACTCCGAAGGATTTCCAATCCTGATCTATTTGTATGATAGACAGAGCCTCCCTCGCATTATATTGAATCTTTCCGTCAAATCATCTCAATAGACCTCTCCGGCTTTCATCCTGATCCCACACGTAAAGACCAATCACCAGTCTAAGGATGGCTGAAGAAAAACCCGAAGACAGTCGAGTCGCCAATTTCCTCTCACGGAACGCAACATTCGCCGAAACCTACAAACCTGCTCCCCTTTTCGCCAAGCTCCTTGCCAACCCCCCAGTCCACCCTCGCATCACCATCATCTCATGCTTCGATGGGCGTGTCGATCCACGTAAATTCTTTGGCTTGCAGCCTGGAGACGCCGTTCTCATCAGCAACGCCGGTGGCCGCGTGAATGCGGATGCTTTGCGAAGCATCATCATTCTGGATGACCTTCTAGTCGTGGGGACTGTGATTGTGGTGCATCATACTGATTGTGGCTTGGTCCATACTAGTGATGAGTCAATTAGAGCGAGGTTGAAGGGGAGGGCGCCGGAGAAGGCACAAGAGATTGAAGGCATGGAATTCGAGTTATTCAAAGACGTGCATGAGAGTGTGAGGCATGATATGGGCATTGTTAAAGCCTCTCCGTTTCTAGATGTTCAAGTCTTTGGGTACATCTACGACGTCACGCATGGTACCGTTGAGGAGGTTAAGATTTGATTTCAGCGAGTCTTCACCCTCTAGATGATCTGGCGATGGTACATATAACGTTTGCTTTCACTCGCTTTAGTGCTTGGCAAACAAGGTGACTGGCGACGGAAGTTTATACCCCTCTAAGGAATGGGTAGAAGTACATGGCTCCCATCATTGCACGCGCAGGCATCGGTACAGACTCTCGCTTTCTGCGCATTCCCATACGTCTAACCCTATGTGCGATCGACGCCATTGGCTCACTAAAAAAGTGTATGTCACGATGCACCCGAGGACAACTGAAACAGAGAGTGGCGCAGCTGGTGATGGGTTTAGATGGTCTCTTTTCACCGGATTGTCCTGCCCTGCTACAAGGATGGCGGCAGGAGTCAAAGAGGGTATCGTGGTGGATGTTTATTAGCCAAGGTGCGAAAAGAGAGCGGCAACCAGAGTATTACCCATCCCACAGATACCGACGACAGCAGCATCATTGAGCAAAAGTACCTTTGTTTTACGTTCTTCTTGAACCTATTATAGACGACCGATCAATGACGGGAATGACAGTTTTCCGGGGTTAACGCACAGATCCATCGTGAGGAATACTTAGACGATGACAAATGTAAGTCTAACGCGTTTTTGGACTCGCCCTCATCGAGCTCGCAGCCTCGCTCCCAATTCGAGCGATAAGCAGCACTAGCAGCGTTAGTTGCATTAGAGGAAACGCTACCGATTCCCACGCTAGGTATCTATCGATAACACATCAGCAATCAAGACCCCAACATCTGCCGAGGTAACAGCGCCTTGTGCAACCCAAGATACTTCGTCTGAGAAATGAATCAATGGGAGGGAACTATCATCAGGGCGTCATCATCCAAGATTCAGACTTTCTTGGGCCTCTCGAATAGCGTCCATGATCGAGACGTTTGGCAGCAGTTCTTAGTAAGTATCTAGCTGACCGATGGCTAGTTTCTATTATTAATATTTCTTCAAAGCGTCTTTCTAAAGACTTTCATGATCAACTGGGGATTGATACGATATGCGCTTGGGGCTCGATGGAACCTAATGTCAAGGTTGCTCTTCGACGTCAGCTGAAAGAGCTATGTTTTCAAAAAGGGCTTTTCACCGGAAGGGATGTGGAGCCCGCCCTCGAATGGCGATTGTATCAGCTTCAAAGGAATAGGCGAGCGGAAGCGCGGAAGGTAAAACCGAGTTAGTCGTCCTCCATGCAGGTCTCTAAGATTTATGCTGAGCTAGTCACAGCAACCGAGTCTGTCAGCGAGTCTTCGCCCACCGCAAACACACAGGACTCCACTACCAAAGTGAGTTATTATGATCCCGTAAGGGATACATAGCTATCAGCGCTTCTATCAAGGATCGTTGTCCAATGAAATCGTTGCATCAGCGAGGGAGACGGAAAAGGAGCTCAGCAGATCGGGGTTTCGGCGCTGCACCTGTTTGTATGGTAGCCTGCACACTTTGTCTCATCTTCAATGAATCTGCAGGTGACTGTGAGATGCGAACCACCGATGAGTTGCAACCATTCGCAGAATGCGTGTGCAATTCCACACATGTACGAGAACGTAGCAAAAATCATGCATAAAAGGAATTTCAACCCCTCTAATCTCAACAGGAAGAAGCGCTCTTCCTCTTCATTTACGCATGTTAATGTGGGTGTCGATCAGAACAAATCGGCTTTTCAGATCGAGTGCTTTGAAACACATTCCTTGCAGGTAATATACAATTTCTTAGGGAAAGTTCGGAAAAAATGTCAACTTCTTCAGGCAACGCGCCTAAAATGTTCCCTCCTTCAACAACTCCGTTGAAAATATTCGTCATGCATGCATGACTTTTGCTACATTCTCTAACCTTAGTATTTCTACAGTTCAGGCGCGGTGCTAGAAGAAAGTGGCGATTTCCACCAATTTTACTTGAAAATTGTCCTTTTACCTGCAAGAGAGAAGCCATAGGAATAACACAATTTAGGTGCGGTGCCAGAAAAACCAGACCGTGTTTACGAAATCTTCCTTGAGAATTCTTCATCCTACCTGCAAGGGAATTGTTTGTCCCTTTTGTCTACTATCCTTTCATAGGAAGAGCCGGTTTGTTCTGATCGATACCCAAATATTCGCGTAAATGAGAAGAAAGAGAGCTTTCTGCTCTCAGAATTTGGGGGCTTCGAAAATCCCTATGTGTATGCTGCGTAGCCTCAACACTTGACAGCCACCACTCAAACATGTCGTTCATCTGGGTATCCATGGCGCTCATGTTTGTCAACAGCCTCATGTTCCTGTTTGCTGACTGCAATATTGAAGCTGACCCCTTATCTCAACCTGTTGTCTCAGCCGACTACGAAGCTTACAGATCCTGTTGTCCTGCTTCAAGATTCTTCCTGGAATGCCGAAAATCCAGTGGTCGTCAATTCCACCTCGCATTTCGAAATTCTGGGCAGACTCTAACAAGCCCTAGTCAGTGTCCATTATCTACTATCGTCAGGAGTCCTCAAACACAGCCTATCTTTTTACACTTCACATCCTACCAACACCTTTTCTTTTCGCCGAATTGCTCTTGTAGTAAGCTCCACTGTACTGTTCTTCACCACACTCTCCACTAACCGAAGTGCGAAGGCAACCTCCATCCATCGGCGCCGTCTTCTGCTCAGTGATCATGAGCAACGGCGGCGGCCAACGCAGCACCCTCTGCAATGAATTTACAGCCTCCTTCGCCCCTGTCGTCCTTCCCACTCTTGCCGGTACCAGTACCGCTCTTGCATCCTTCAAAATTGCCGATCTGCCTTATCCCCCCCCCAGTCTTTGGGCCGTACCAGGACAACTCTATCAACACAGGCTCGCAAACCCGCAGAGTCCATAAACAGCCCGAGTGCGCAAGGTACTGACCCAACTCTGCCAGGTGCGAGCGTGAGATGATCCTCCGGCTGCGATGGTGATAGCTTCTGGCCTGGAAAGCCGGGCAAGGGCCATCCTCCCGATCTTGGAAGAAAGGAACCGGCAAATGCACATAGGAAAGCTACGGCCGGCTAAGGACTTCCGGACCCTAAGCGACATAAGAGGAGAATGGAGCAAAAGTCATGCACAGAGGGAATTTCAGATTCTATAAATCCTAACGGGAGAAACCCCTCTTTCTCTTCGTTTGCGCACATTCTTTACCGACCAGAACAGATCGGCGCTTCTCGTCAAAGAACATTGTAAGAGGGTACAGTAAGAGTTAGACGTAGAGACAACTTCTCCAAATCTCAAAAGATGCGCCGTCAGGAAATTACGACACTTGTGAAACAAATCTAACCTAACTGTCGGTTCGAATAAAGGTAACCTGTGCCTCGACTACACTTTAATCAAGTCTTTTTCCTTATAAACGTCAGTTTAGTCTGGTTGATAACCATAACAGTGTGTTAGAATAGAAGGATCTAAGCTCTTAGAGCTATTTTTCTTCATTTTTTATTTTATGTTTGTGACAGAGTTCCTAATCATAGAACTTCCGCAACGAACAAAGGACACTTCCCTTGTAGGTCGAACGACAGTTTCATTGACAAAGTCCCTTTTTCCTGGCACCGCGCCTGAACTGCATGACTTCGTACAGAATCTTCGCCTCTGATGGATGACTCTGGCTGCGTTCTCTTCCAATTTGCTCTTCCTATCTTCTTGTTAGGTACTAGTACCCCACATGTAATGGACGTGAAGATAGTGGAATAAAGGACATCATGTGCACTACATGGCAATCCAACCTGATATGGGACATATATGATGAGAAAGAGTGCACCCGACAGGGGCGAATTATTATTCATACCCCAAAGGTATGGATCCTTCGGTAATTTGCCATTGCTTGGGGTATGATTTGATAAGTTATCAAAGTGGCCTTGGATTACGAAGGAGATAATCCGCGATCTGGCCTGTCTAATTATGGAAGTGAGGGAGTTTCTCTAATCGAGAATTCTATCGAGAGTTCTATCAACCTAAAAATATCAGACGAAAGCCGAGCCAATTGAACACTCGGCTGGAGCTGGATGACATGCTCGAAGCACTGAGAGAGACATCACGAGAGATAGATCAACCGATCATGATTGTAACAGATGGTTTGGACGAATGCAATATGAATGAGCGGAAAGACTTCATAAAGGTCCTCACTGGCCTTAAGAAGACATCCTGGAAATCCTTGGTAACAAGCAGATTTGATCAAGATGTTTTGTCCCAGGCTTGTGATGGTTGCTTCCAATTCTCCATCAAAGATGAAAATGTCGAGGATGATATCCGGAATTTTGTTGACAGTGCCCTCAGAGGGAATGAGCCAGTCGACAACATGTTGAGCGATCGAGCGTTTAGATTGGAAGTCATCGAAACTCTGACCTCTCGTGCTCATGGCATGTAAGTCAACGTTCCTTGGTAAGAGACGGCTTCCTAGTTTCCGGCCTCGCATTCTCAGCTTATGCAAAACAGGTTCTACTGGGTCTCCCTTCTAAATCACGTATCGCAGAGTCAGCACCTATAACGGCTCTAGCAATGAGTCACGCAATTGGTGTGTCACACGTCCTAGACTCCAACAGATATCATTCGAAGCTCAGCGAGGATGAAATACCTAACCCGGCATCAATCATCGGATGCTGCATGGGTCTAAATGCGATGGATCCAGTTATCAGAGTTGTGACGCTGGCTCATTTTGATATAGCAAAATACATGCAAACACATCGGGGGGTTCTGTTCTCATGGAAAGGAAAACTGATGCTTGCAAACATCACCCTGGCTTATCTTTCTCTGGAAGCTTTCTCTACTGGCCTTTGTCGTCAAGCGGATGCATTTACCAGACGTCTTGAGGCGTATCCTTTTTTAGACTACGCTTCTCGCCATTGGGGTCACCACGCTCGCGAGGCTATGTTACTTCAAGACGCCGATGCCAAAGAGGGCAAACAGACACTCGTTGGGAATCTCAATGGGTTGCTGAACGATCGAATGAACCTTGAATCTTCACTCCAAGTTTGCAATCTTAATTCGAGCCCTTGGAGAGCCTGGGAAGTATTACTTCAAAGCAGGGAGAAAGATTTTGCGCTGCACGCAGATAGATTAGGAGTGTATCCAAGCTACCAGTAGCAGCACATCATGGATTCTCTGCGATCGCTCGGGAACTCATGAAAAGTCAACCGGAGCTGGTGTTCAGTCAGGACGATTTTAGGACATCAGCAGTGCATGAAGCTGCACGCGCTGGGTGGGATGGTCTCGTTGACGTGTTGCTTCAGGCCGGGGCTCCACCTTCTCCAAAAGACAAAGACGAGAAGGCACCGGTACACTCTGCTCCTCAATACCAACATCATCTCATTGCACTCAAATGAGAAAAGTGTAAATGGATCCCTTCCAGAGCGGTCGGGGTCTTGCGAGCCTCCAAGCGGGACTGAAAGAGTATTCGTGCGTGGAGACAAGGGTGATCCCTTAGCACTTCAAGAAGCGTTTTGTGACGCTGCAGAGGCTGGAAAACTGGATGTCATCCGAGAATTCCCCGAAAGTGATGCCAATTTAGCAACTTCAAGGAAGCACGGGAAATCGGCAATGGTTTCTGCTATCCACAGGGGGACACGAAAAGATTCTTTAGAAGGCTGTTGGACGCCAAGGCGTGCTCTTCTTATCCAGACCAGCCAGACTCGTCACCGAGCGACCAAATCCCTCTGCGCCAGGCTATTAGGTGTTCGAACAACAACATGGTAGCCATATTGCTGGATTCTGGTGCTAATGTTGAAACTCGCGACGATCTCAGTCGTACAGCGCTTTTTGAGACACTCGACTGCCATGATCTTAATGGAGCAAATTTCTTGCTACGACAGTGAATAAGCATCTCTGCATGTGACTATCTGGGAACTACTGTTCCGCACGAAGCCGCCCGCAGGGGCGCTGTTCAGCACGCTTCGCTCTTCATTGATTAAGGCATAGAGCTGACCGGATTCAACGAAGAAGGCTTAACACCTTTACATCTTGCTGCTCGACACGGTCATTGCAGAATAGTGAATGATCTGCTCGAGAAGGGCCACGAAATCAATGTCGTCGATTGAAAACCCGGATGGACCCCCTTGATGTATGCCGCGTCGACTAGATCCACACAACTATGTCAGATACTCCTTTCTTGCGGCGCTGACATAGCCAAGATCTCTTCTGATCACAAGACAAGCTTGATGGTAGCAGCGGATCCGGGCATCGTCAACTCGCGCACTTGCTTCTGACATCGGGTGCAGAGGTAAACGTCCTAGACAGAGAGTCAAAACCGCCGCTGTTGGTCACGCTCGGCTGGTGCGACTACTGCTAGAGCATGGTGCAGATGTGAATGCCTTGGACAAGGAATCAAAATCAGCTCTGATGCTAGCAGTAGACGCTGACGATGCCGCGGGTGTACAATTACTCCTTGAGCATGGAGCAGGTCCCCAGACCTTGAAGCGGGAACCAAAGACCTCGAGGGGAAGGCAACGACGACTAACAGAAGGCTAATCTGGCAGCTGTTTCAGGACTATGGTGTAGAAGCGGACGCAATCATGAAGAATTAGGTGGGTGCATACATTGTTCCTTGCTGGGCTAGTACAATCAGAGTCCGGAATGCGAGAACTTCCGGACACCACTATCTCGACGGAGGTTCCAAGTCTCAGACTTAGATATGCTATTGGGGTTGATGCTTAAAGCAGTTGTGAGGCTTTGAGACAAAGTTGTGCTCGAGTCACGGGCTCAGATCGGCGCAAGAGGCATAGAAGGTGGGAGTGGTTCAACACTTGGCGAACGTCGTGGCCGTGGGTGGAGGATCCAACGTGCATTAATTTGACGCAAGGATGGGACTTAGGCCAAGATCGCTTTACGATCCTCTGGTCAAAGGCTGAGCGATGCAATTGCATCAGGCCCAGTTCTCTCGGTCGATACGTTTCAGACTGCTGCAGGCTTGTCAGCCCCATTATGCGAAATGGCCTATCAAAACTGAATTTAACCCCCCTGTGACTGCATCCCTTGGGATATTCCTTGCCGTTTGCGCGCGGTTCGTGATGCGACCGATGAACGGTAAAGCTATGACTCCTCCATCGAGTGATTGTATATGCGGTGACATGATGCAACTTTCCAATATAGACTGTGGCACCGGAATAAAACACGGAAGCCAGCCTGATTCAGCCAAAGTGGTCTCTCTCATCTCTCTCATATTCTTCTCTCCGAATCAGTCGGAGAGGGGGAAAATTTACGCTGCATTATTGTTCATGGTCCCCTATCCACCTCGACACAGTCAAGCTGATATCTTTTTGGATCGGCTCTCTCGCCGAATGATGATTTACCATCCACATTGTTGGGGGTATCAACCAGGAAAATTGGCTCTTCTTGTCAGGGAGTAATTAATGAACAAAGTATATGGAACGTGTGATTATCGAACAGAATTGACACCTTTTTCTGGCAACGTGCCTATAAAATTTGCAGCATCTTGCGGGACACGGGACTTGACAAGAATCCTCTCGGAATTCTCGTCCTAGAGCCCCCCTCTCCCACCGCACTCGTCCTTCTATTCATAACTTTTGCTACATTCTCCTAGAAGCACAGTGAGTTCAGAAGTTGCAAAACTACCAGCGAAGCTTGGCATGTTCAACAGCTATAATGGTCCTAAATATCAAAGCGATCTTTGCCCAAGGGTATAATTTGCTTTCCACCAACCTGACAGCTGTTATGATTCCAAAACGCCTCTCATCTATCCACTACCTCATATTCATACTCGTAGCAATGTACCCTGCAGCCTGACTTGATCAGTCAGGTCTTGCATTCACTTCCGTACAATCCTCAACAACGGCGCAATTCTCGCCCTCTTGCTCAGGCCAACTCGGTACGCCACTTTCCCGCTGCTGATCGGGCTGTGCTTGTCAGGTCCCTTTGGTGCAGGCGTTGCAGCTTTACGAGGAGTTTCCGGTGGAGAGTTGGCATTCGTTGGCGACGTTTCCGGCAATGGCTTCGTAGCAAGCTCTGAGGCGATGATGTTGCCATGAGTCTCGTTGAGAATATTGCCTGGCAGATCTTCAGAGTCGTCTCTAGCCACAGGAGTACCGTCATTATTGCGGTCCTCTTCTTCGATGATCGGTTTCGATGTCCCTTTAGTCTGCGTCCTTTTTCGGGACTTCTTGGCCGTTGCTGAAACGACAGGCTCCTCTGCTTCAACGTCTTCTTGATCATCATCGGCTTCTGCCTCGTCCACGATGCCTTCTTCCGAGAGATTCGTCACGACTTTCTTGGGTCTGCCTCGTTTCTTTTGGCCTGTTGCTTTAGCCGCTGGCTTCGCCTCCGGTTGGGCTTCGGCTCTGATCCCCTCTGCATCATCTTTCCTGTCCACGTCTGCCTCATCTCCTCCGGTGGAGATCTTTGACGTTCTCTTCTCTGGAATCTCAAACCTGGGATCAGGTGTCACTTTGACTTCTTCGTCCTCATCTTCTGCCTTAGGTAGCAGTTCCTGAAAAGCAGTAGTCTTATGTCGTTTAGTCTTATGCTTGACTTTTCCAGTCGCTTCTGGCTTCTTCGAAAAATCGGTTGGGACGACGAGTTCCACATCTCCATTTCCAGACCTTCGCTTACTGGGCCGTGGCTTGTACTGCTCTTTCGGAACGCCTATTGCATTGTCGTCGGAGCCAAGCTCGTCGACAGTGCCTTCTTCGTTGGTCCTCTTCCTTTTGGATCCTTTCGCTGATTTAGTCGGGCTTTTGATGGGTTGCTCAGGTATGGAAAGTGAAAGCTCATCGTGACCTTCGCCAGTGTCCGGAGGCGCTGACAATAGCACAACAGGATTGACCATTGTCGACATGTCAGATTCGGGCTGTGGCCGAAGATGCGCATCATCAAAGTGCAAGCTCGACTCTTGCGAGACATTTTTTGTATGACTTGTTCTTTTAACAGTAATCATCTTGCTAGGTGAAATCTCAGAAGCACTTGAGCTTGGTGCTGGCTCCTCACTAGGTTGTAGATCGGTAGCTTTCATCTCTTCGTTTGAGCGCAATGGATGAAGGTTGCCGCTCTGCACAAAGCCTGGGGAACGTCCATCATCAACGGCACCGCGCAAAGATCTTGTAGGACTTGGCATTTGGTCGTCAGAGTGAGTCTCAAAGCACGTTGCCCCTGCAGGAGGGAGTGGATTGCTCATAGTGGGGTTTTGAGGCGTTGGGTTAGAGATCGTAGGCATCGTGCTTGTCTCCAACCACTGCGTTTGCTCGAACGAGGTTATCTTAGACGGCGGAGGGGGCATTGAGCTTTGCAGAGAGACATGAACATCGCCTGTCATTGAGCTCTGGTACGGCTTTGGCTCAGTGCTCTGGTACGGCTTGGGCTCAGTACCAAGCATTTCTGTTTCTCCGCCAGACGAAGTGATCGGCCTTCTCGTAACCTTTTCATCTTGAGCAGATTGACTGCCCACGGTCTCGGCGATCTTTGAATTCCCATGCCTGTCGCGCCTTCCAGCGTTGTGCCCCAAATCGATCCGTGGCGTTAGATCGAGCTCTCCATCGCTGCCGCCATGGAACTCAAAGATATCTTGACTACTTCTCCCGTACGTCTTCAACGGTCTTTTAGCTTTCGGCTTCTCCACGCTCGTCTTCGATCTTTTAGTCTTCAGCCGCGACGTCGTAGGTGAGGTAGGGGTCTGCTGTGAAGAAACATCATGTGCCCTAGTCGCAGGAAGTGTGCTTTTGGGAGTAGGCTCGATGAGGCTTTTATGTGCAGCGCGCGATTCACGATTAAATAGCTCTTTGGACGGGTCAGCTTCCGCAGTCGATTGCAACATGTAGGCTAGAGAAGAGCACAGACCGGTAGAGCTTGTACTTGGGTCAGCAGATTGGTCCTGTATCTTGTGCGAAGGAGAGCCGTCGAGGCTGACGAGTGTGCTCAACGTAATGTCTGAGAGCCCGGTTGCTGATGGGTGTGGCGGGGTGGCTTCCGCGTTCTCCTCGTCGTCCGAGTCCTCGATCACATTGCGCTTCGTCATGTCGTAGTATACTTAGAGATTGAGGCGAAGCTGCCAATGCTTTCCTTGATGCATTATACGCGGTGACATCCAGCGAGCATGTGAGGACGCTGAGGGCAGAAGCGAAGCGGGAGCTAGCCGCGAAGACACGTCGGAGCCAAAATACGCGTAATCACGTGTCGTTCCTTTATTGATTCAGAATACCTTACAACCAGAGATTGGGAGCCAAATTCTAGTGTTCGCAAAATATTTGTGCATTCGTTCTATTCTGCAGTTGGCGCCGTCATGACACCTCTACCGAAGAATTCGCTGATCGTCCCAAATTTATCTCGACTTCGCTGTAATGCGTCTTGAAACATATCGTGCCTATCCGCCGAGTCCTCCTGCGCTTTTCTGAAAGAACGGATATTATTATTTGCCGCAGCACATTTTGGACACTCCGCCTCCACCCCATCTGTCTCGTTGAGGCAACTTTGGTGGAACGAGTGCTTGCATAGAAAGTGCACCGTTGGTAGATCCAGGCTCCTACCACACGCGGCGCATCGTGTGGCCTGGAAGACAGCAGGCTTATTGCCCAGATCGTCCATCTCTTTTCGCTTAGACTCGGTCTCGGTACGGTAGCTTTCGATGAGACGACGATTCTAGATTCTGTTAGCAGCCTATGCTGTAGTCAATGGTGCATGACGTACATTTGAAATCTCTTTTCTCTCCCTCTCGATGGTGTCACTGAGATATTTCTTGACCATACCCATTGTTGCAACAGCATTCGTGCTCAATGTTTGTATTACTTGTAATGGTGCCATCAGGCCATCTTGGTCAATTTTCTTCAAGACAAGGTCCAATTCATGGCCCGCTTCTTCCAGAATCTTAGGATCAGATGTGAAGTACGCAAGGGCAGCTGGGTATAGCTGGGGCTCTTCAGGGCCGTATTTCCTCAAGGCTTTGATCGCCCCAGCAGTATCGTTGGCAGAGGTATAAGACCGAAAAATGTCGAACCGAAGACCTTGCTGCTCTCTGACTAGGGTCGTACCGTCACGGAAATTTGAGAGATGTGAGAGCAATAGAACATTCGAAGCGTCTATAGGAATCTAAAGATCTATTAGCTCGGACTGCAGAACATTTAGGGTCTCACCCACGTCTTTGCCGTCAATCAATTTTTTGGCTTTCGCCTCCCATGTTTCCTTCTCCTCGCCTTTCTTGGTATTAGCAGTCTCCAGATACATCTCAAATAGTGCAGTATACAGGTCGGTCATGTCGCTCTTGTCGAGGTTCTCTTGCTTCAAGCATGCCTCGAGGAAAGTGATGAAATTTTCGGGATGATCAACGAATGATGAAAACGCTGTTCGCGGCTTTGGTATGTCATACTCCGGTGGAGCTTGACCAGCTTCCGCATCTGCTGCGTCGGCGCCCGCCAACTGCTGGTTGCCGGCTGTCCCAGGGGATGGATTAACGCTTGCTTGGCGGTATGGTAAAGGAATAAAGGAGGTCAGGTTCGCGACGTTGTAGGCTCCACCAGCTTGGGGCTCCTGCACCGTGGGTATTGGCACGTCCTCCCTCGGTCGATATTGGCCCGTGTAGTAATCGATGAAGATCTGAGTAGCATCTTCCTCGCAATGCTCAAGCAAGATTCTGGCATACTTCATCATATTTGGGTAGGCCATCTCAGGTGCAAGCCGCCAGATATAGTCTAGAGCATCCTCGTATTTCTTGGAGTCCTCGATCAGTATGTCGATGACTAGCTCATGTTCGCTGTTCTTCTTGGCGAGGAAGACGGCTTGGTCGTAATAACTTCCTTGTCGGCACATACTAATCGCTGTCTCTAGGTCGAAATTCGTCCCGGACTTGATGAATGTCTCAAGCTTTTCGGTGTCCTTCAGTTTAGCATAGCAATTGAGGAGAAGTGTAGTATGATCGACAGTGGCTTTGTCATGATCATGTAGTTCCTCAAGATACTCAATGAGATTATTGATCCGCTGGGAATCGAGGAACTGCGGCACTCAATTAACGGGATTCAACTGCAGGCACACATATGCGTACTTTGCGTATCACTTGTGAAGGCTCGGTGTTGTCAATTGCTTTCAAATACTGTTGCATAGCAGTGTCGTAGTCACCCTTCTTATGCAGGTAATCACCGTACTTGCGGAGAATCACGTTGCGTTGAGCAGTGTCGACGCCAGCTTTCTGGGCGAAGTTGATAGCAAGGACATAGAGATCACGCTGGTAGAGAATCTCAAGCTTCTGCTGCAGAGTCTTCTCGTGATACCGAAAGAGCTGCCAAATCAGCGTTTACATTCCCAGATTCTTTGACAATCGCTTACTTTGCCATCCAGGGTCAACAAAAACAGATCATCCCACTCAATGAAGAGGGCTTTGACTTGGGATATGAGAGTCTCCGTATGAGCTATGTATTTCAAATCCGTGTCCAGCAGTGCAAAAGTAGATGTATTGTACAAATCATCTCTTTGGCTGCCGACAAATCTACGAAGTGTACTCATTTTGGTGGGAGGGGATGCTTTTGGAGGAGTAACGAGGGCAACATAGTCGCCGAATATGCTGACGAGTTGTTTAGGTCCTTCGTAGGCGAACGACGGACCACGCCCATTGACCCCATAGTAATGTATTGCGTCGTCTCGTACTACCACGATGTCCCCATTGGCATCATCAAATGTCATACAGCCAACGCCGCATCCTGTGTCCTCCAAAACTTTTGCTGGTTGTCCTTGCCCCTTTCCCGTTATCGTCAGGGTGAGTATTCGCCCAGTAGTTGCGAGGTAGAGTGTAGTATTGGGACCTTCTCGAAACTCGACTCCTGTTATCGGCTCCTCGGACTCAAAGACAGTTCTTTGCTTGGCGCCTCGGTCATGTATTAAATCGCCTCTTATGACAGTAACCGCGCCATTTGCGAACCCTACTGCAAGCTGAGACAGGTTCTCGAGTGTTGCGAAGGCCGAGATCTGTCCCTGTCAGTCCCATTGCTGCAATAACCTCGGTTTCCTCAATGCATCGCTCACAGGAAATTGCTTCCTGCCATTATGTATGTCCAAACTTGACAAGCACTTCGGTGCACCCGTCCTCTTCTCTGTCTTGTCTAGAGCCCAGACTTTGAGTACTGGCTCATTTGATAGATCTTCGGAGATAGTGACAAGTAGCGCCGTGCCTTCCACCTGTTTTATCTGTGTGATAGGACCATTGTCGTGTGCTTTGAACGTCCGTACGATCTTGAAGGCCTGGGAGAGAATGCGGACATGGCCATCGTTGCTGCCGACGAAGATATTGTCGGACCCGGAACAGATGCAGTGAAGATCATTGCTCTTGCCACGTCAGCATCGAAGCAGACTGTGCACGTCGGATATTGACTGACATCGAAGATTGAGGAGCTTTCTCCGTCGTCCGGCGGTTTGACTTCCGAGACGTCGAAGAAATTGAAAATTTTCCACTATCAAGCCGGTATTAGTATTCCGGGGACTCAGCACTCAGGGCACATGTTCTTACCGACGTTAGAGCCATGGGAGAGGCTCATAAGATCATTGGGACTGAGCATGAAGCTTTAGCAAGGCGGCAGCTATGAAGCCAGGCGCCAAGGCCATAAGGCTGACACTTACTTGGGATTCTAGCGTCTGGGCTACGTGCTCCTCCCACATTAGTAAAATGCCCACCACCAACATCGTCGCTTTTCAAGTCAGTGTTTCTAGCTCTCTGATACTGGCGGTAAATGGATACTATATAGTTTTATTTGTCCGTTACTATCCGCATTCTTTTGCTCATTTTTTCTTCTTTCTCCCCAAAACTACACTTTGTTGAAACAGTGCGCTTGCGAGGATGCCTAAAGAGCGGTCGGCAACGACTTCAGCGGGATAGCGGGACAGCTTAATGACCCGATGGACCATCCCCGAGTCAGATGGAACCTTCGTGCCCTCCCGAAGACACAAAGTCACGAAGTAGAGGTGATACTGAAGAACACCTCGTTCTCAGATATATGCAATTTTTACTTGTATGTGGACCAGAAGCATTTAACTGCAAGGTTTACGGACATGGACCTATCAGCCCCATAATATCCAAACGATAGACACGATGCTGAGGTAGACATTCAAGCCGCCACTGTATTTCGAGTACACGGAGACTACGAATTTCCAATGGACCCCCACGGTAACGCATCGCCACGACAGAAAACCCAACATCTACGAAAATCATGCGATTTCCGTTGATGACAGGTCAACCATAGAGGTATTGTCAGTAAAAATCTGTGGGTAACGCTCCATACCATGCCGTGGTTTTAGAGTCCTTTTATCTCGGCCAATGCTCACGAGATGGCCATTGACTGGGGGACCAGAGTATCTCGTCCTCAGTCAATCCTCTGGATCCAGGTGAAGAATATTTTCGATGACTACCATGGGCTCCGATGGGACGAACGGCCCTCCGTCTAACTCGCTACGCATATTGGTCGCCTTTGAAATACCTGCTTCCAAATATAACAAAGGGCCATACTGGGAGCACGAGTACCTAATCCTCAAGTGTGTGCCAGCAGAAGCTTCCCGTATATACGAGCTTGAGGATTTCGAAAGAGGTATACTGATGTGATCGTCACGTACTCCGAATTGCTAATAGTATGGTCAATAATGAACAGGTTCTCCGCGCCTTCCTCTTCTGTGGTTCAGCTCCCCATGCCGCAGGTCCCCATGCTAGAACTTCCTGTGTATCCATTTTCGAGGCCTTCAAAGGAGCCGGCTGAACATAATGATCCCAGCGAGCTGAAGAAGCGACTCTTACCACGAGATCTCGCTTCTATGTCTCAAGTGGCCTCCTTTGGACCGAACTAGCTTCCCAAATGTAATTGCGGCTCGCAGAGGCGACTGGACTCAATCCCAAAGGAATTGGCCCCTTATTCTCAAGGATGTGCTGCTTTCAGCGAAGCCCGGAGTGTCGTCATTGTAGACCAGAGATATAAAATCAGGGTCTGCAGCAGAAGTCGGACACTTCTGTAAGAATAGGCTGGTAGAACAACAACGTGAGTAGAGGCATGATATGAAATTACAGTCCCATGCAATTGGTTATTGCTATGACTACAAATATTTGGGTAGATATTCCCCAAGCTCCTTGTGCCCAAGTTTCCCTTTGTTCGGCGGCGACTAGAAGTCTGTGGCACAATCATCGCCTCCTTCCCTTGAACAAGCGGCTGAAGAATGGCTGACGTTTTCCTTCGATCCGTTCGCTACTTCCAACATCCTGAACTGGGCTCAAAGCTTGAGCTCCTGTAGCCTGAGCTTCTGCAGCCTGAGCTTCTGCAGCCTGAGCTTCTGCAGCCTGAGCTTCTGCAGCCTGATGAGCTCGAAGTGCGCCAAAAGTCTTATCCTCAATCGCCTTATCTTTCTGACACCTGACTTCCCGTTCTAAACACCGCTTAGGCTCCACCGTCGAGCCTCATTAACAAGCAGAGCTCACCTTTCTCCACCAATCCATCAGGCGTGAAAACGGTAATAGCCTCCTTCGGCACCCGATGCAGAATCAAATACGTCTTCAACCACTCCGCCCTCGCACCGCCCGGCCACTCAAGATTGAATCCCGTAACGATATCGCGGACAGGATAAATCCGTGCCCCTGGCATCATTTTCTCCACATCGATCTCGAGCACGAGGATCTTTTCGCCGACGCGCTGCTTCAAAGCCTCGATGTCCACATGTTGGCGGAGAACGACGGGTACGTAAGGGGTAGGGTTTGGGCGATCGAGGTTGTTGCAGAAATAGTCGAAGATGCTCTGAACCAAGTCTTTCTCGTTGTCGGGGGTTGTGGAAGTGTCTTCGGCTGCGAGGCCCGTGATGGGGGACCAGCGGGTGGCAGAGTCGTGGAAGCGGTCGAGGACGTGGTATAGTTTGAACGAGACGCCTGGGGTCGGGTAGTAGCAAAGGCGTTGCATTTTTCACTTGCCGATCGAGGTGTACGAAGTGGTGCTGAAGAAGCGAGTCCCACAGTCCTAGATCAGGTGCGCCGAGAGGTTTTCTTGACGTCTAAGTGTTGGAATGTGGTGTGAAAGCTGTTGTATCGAGAAGAAGAAGAAGAATGGCTGTGAAGCCGACTAAATAGTAGGTGGCCAGCCCTACAAGAATGCGGCAGATGTCTTCTCTCCTGCTGCCTTGCCTGCCCAAGTTTCAGTTGGGCGACGTGCCGGCCGTGCTGACGGGCTCTGATTCGCTGTCGCTTCCGAACGCCGGTGTCAGGAGCGGATTCGATCAGGCAGTATGTTTCAGGGCAGGCGGATCCGCACCGGATTGCTGAAGGCAAATTTCGGGCTGCCGGCTGACCCCTCCTGTTCGCCGCCTCGTTTCTAGTTTTCAACGCGCTTCCGAGTGGTCGAAGCGAGGTGGGACAGACACCGGGTTCATACTCTACCATTACTCACGGTTGGGCTCCTTATCACATCGCCTTTTCTGTCCAACGAAAGGAAGACTTACGATCTAAACGGCTGACTCGCCAGGGAAGGGAAGTAATGTAGCTTCTGGACCAGCGGTGGAGGATTTTGGATCTAAGTCATCACGTGGACTTTGCATTTCAGCTGACGGCGCCTGACGCGCCAAAGGTCCAGGAGCGGCAACCATCGTCTCTTCTGCCATTGTCAACTCTGGGAGACGATCTGGTATGAGAATGCACAGAATATGGGTATTACCAAGTCTATGTACATGAAGATTAAGGAAGTCGAGAGTGAAACACCCATCATCGACCACCAAGCTGGCCCTTCGGTATTGGTCTTATCCATGACACGAGCAGATTCCCAGCAATGGTGATGATACCTACTATCCAGAACACCCTTCCATAATTTGTATCGCTGTAGCGATATATCAGCAAGAACACAATGCCGCCAAGATCACCGGCTGCACCAGTCACACCGGTGACGAGACCTACGATACTGTCAGTCTTGATAAACAAGATTGATCTTAGAATATCCCGAGGGGACTCACCGTTCGACGTAGGATGTACATGCGGGACCAGAGAAAAACATCCTCCATTACCAGCTTCCTCGAAGAAAGCCAATCCAGTGATGAGTCCGACGAACGTGGCTTTCGAATGAGGGTTCAAGAAGCCAATGATGAGCAAAAATACTCCTGTCATAACCCCAAGGCTGTGGATAAGGATTTTCTTTCCCCATAGTGAGCGGGTGTAGCGGTAAATGGTATCGCTGATAATACCGCCCGCGGGCCGGAAGACGAAGTTCAAGAGCCCGAACATGGCAGCCCAGTCTCCAGAGCCAGTCTGGCCAAGTTTGGGGAAGTTCTGGGCGTAGTAAGCACCAAGGATGGTGTTGACGCAGAGCTCGGTTCCGAAAGAACAGAAGTAGGCTACCGAAAGAGCCAAGGTTGGAAGCGACAAGATCGCCTTCGTTGACCCCTGGACCGTGGGCTTTTCAACCAATTCCCAGCTTGCTGCGGCGAGAAGGTCGTCTTCCTGCGCCTGCGTTTCCGAGAAGTGGCCTTGGCCGCGGGCGGAGTTGAGTTTGATGGTGTCGTTCGACAGGCCTGGCGAGGCATGAGAATCCATGCTTGGCGGAATACCTTTGCGGTCTCTGCCAACGCCACTGAAGAAGGTATCACGCATGTCAAGATGGCGCCGTACCTCTTGAGTTCGAGCTGACCATGCGCCTGTGGGGGTGTCGGGACATGTCAGGATCATGGCTAATGCGGTAAACGTGATGAGAATGAATGGAACCACGAATGCGACACGCCAGGCGACATGGTCTGTTAGGTGCTGATGCTGGACGAGAGAATTAAAAATGGCGGGCATGACGAAGTAGGTCACTCCACCTCCTGCGTTTCCGAATCCAGCTGCTAAAGAATTCGCAGTGCCGACTACGTTCTTGTCGAAGAAGCCTGTCGTCCATACTTGGCACGGAATAAAGCTGCCACCAAGAATCCCGACGAAGAACCTAACTGTGATGAGGCCTTGACGCGTTGAGACCGTGCCTGCAAGGGCGGTAGGAATTGCGCCGACAAGTAAAATGCCAGCAAATGTCCATCTTGCCCCATATCTATCACACAATGGACCAGCAGTAAGGCGGACGAGCATTGTCGCGGCCAAAGAGATAACGTTGGAATTCGCGATGTCTTTTTGGGAGAGCTTCAGGTCTTTTTTGATGGTTTCCGTCATCAAAGGCGGAAAAGCATACCAACTCCAGAAGGCTACGAAGAAGCCCCACCATGAGAGCAGGAAGACCCGGCCATAGATGTTGAGAGGATTCAAAGCGGGTATGGATTTCGCTTTGTGGTTAACCGGATTGATATCTGGCGCTTTCCATAGCGAGGCTATAAAGGAATGCATTGCAGAAGCAGTGGTCTTGCAGAATTATAGCTTGCAGAATCATAGGGAGCCAGAAAGCCTGCTCCACCTCGTCGTGCTCGAATCAATGAGCTATGTGAGAAAGGAAGCATGCACAACTGAAGCGAATCAATGAGCTATGAGAGAAAGGAAGCATGCACAACTGAAGCTGGTGGATGTTGACCAGCAGTCGCTCCGTTACCCACCCTGTCAAATGCAAGGTACAAGGGAGGACATGGAGCATGGAATTTTAGCTACCGTCTAGTCTCACACCCAAGTCCCGATCAAGGGTGCAAGGGGTCTTTGACTTTGTTGGATGGCATCATACTTCCCACCCAAAAGAGTCCAATACGAACTTTGTACACTGGGTCGCAAGAGTGGTCAGTCGGTACGCTTGAAATAGTCGATCCCTATTCTTCCGGTTTGTGGCTGAACGAAGTCTCAATTGGTGGGCGTGCGGTAAAAGGCGTGGATAATCACTTTGAGGTCGGCAGGGGGCTTTTGCTAATCATCCCCGGAAAGTCTTGGCAAAGCTGTAGGCGGAGAGTATTTCGACCCGTGTTAATAAGGCATAGGGTATCAGTGGCTATAGTGTGAGAAAAGATCGTACTCTACATAGATCCTGGGAGTATTTCTAAATCTCAAGAGACTTTTCACTTGTAAGATCTCTAGATCAAAAGATCTTCTCAGATTTGATTATTATTGACTAAGCTATATCTTACATCTTGGCGTAATATCAGCCTCTTCTATCATACCCCCTATAACCTACCCCTATTATACCCCACCTTATTACTCCTCATAAGCCCCCCGAGAATAATACCCCGCGAGGATTTTAGCTAAATCGCTTGAATCTGAAGTTAGAAATAAAAAAGTGTAGATAAAATGTACAGTAGCTAGATCCCGAAAACGAGGCTTGATACTCGTATTTACGAAAATGATTACAGAAGACTCTCGAGAGGAATCTCAAGCCACGATATATTAGATTGAAAAATATTTGATATGAGAAGATTCTTTAAAAGGACTTTAGGATAGATACGTTAAATCTTATAACAAATCCTTGTGTCTAAATGCTACTCATAGTATTGTTGTTATATAACTAGCCTACATGGACCATTACGAAAAACCCCTGACCGACCTTAATGAATACTTATAACACCTGTAAAGTCATCGAATCGTCGAATGCAGCTAGCGATGGATTCCGCAACGAGAGCGCCACTGGATCTCTTGCTGCGGACCGGAGATTTCTCCTCGTATCATAAAGTATGGGACATGCTAGCAAACTTTCATGGAAAACGCACTAGCGGACACTTTGTGGGGAAGCGGCAGACGATACCTTGCCGCCCCAATCATCTCTCCTTCCATCACATTTCCAACCAGTCTAGTGAGTCTACAACGACACTCGGACCGCCAGGCCTATTGTTTGATATCAGCGAGAGCGTGCTCAAGACTTCAAACAGGCTTGAACACGAACTCGAACAGGAGAATTTTCGGATGCTCCGATGGTCTCAGGAGGGTTCGAATGTGGCTGGTGAATGTGGTAAAGTATGTATGTTTGAAATGCTATCGAAAGTATGATAAGAGTACGAGGCAATTCCGAGCGATGTCCAACGACATTAAAGACAAACACCGGCAGGGCATGCTTTTGATAGGCACCTTTTCGGAGATTTCCTCAAAGCCACATAACCGGCACTTGCCCGTCTTGTTGGACATCTCGTGATGAAACGAAGGAGTAGCGTACCACATTTCATCTGATGATCAAGCCAGGCACGGCTAACTACTCGTATCATATCCGCACCAGTCGGACAAGGGATCCAGGCCTTTTCCAAAGCCAACGTAGTACCATCAGACCTTCATATGCGACGTTGTACTCATGATGTCAAAGATCCTGTTCTTCCTTGCAGTTGCGCTCTCAACTGCAAACGCCTGTTCAAGATCATAGCCTAGGGTGGACGCGGCAGCAGAGAGTAAATGATATAACTCTAAATTGGGAGAGAACGAAAGCGCAGGCCAGCTCAAAGTCAAAAATATTCAGGGGTCCCTTCAATCAAATATCGCAGGCTCGAGCACCAGAGGTGTCACTTGGACGAATAGGAGCAGTACTCGGTATTGGGGGATCATCGAATGGAACTCTACTACGTGACAATGTCATAACGCTTAGTCGTATACAGCTGTTGTTTGGGAAAACAGGATTGGACGCACAACGATGTCCTCGAACACGGATGACAGTCTGGGACTCTCGCAGCTCCAATCCGCACTGCCTCCTCCTCCCCAGTATACCGAAGCGACCTTACAAAGAGACGTAAAAATCATCGACAATTCGAATTACAACCGTGGTCCATGGCTACTCCGACGGACCTCAATTCACGTGGAAAGTACACCCAACGATGCCTGGCAAGACGACAACTCTTCTCACCGAGAAGTCGCACCCTCCATTAGAAGCAACGAAGAGAAGAAGGCGCTACGGAATCTGTTGACCCGATTTGGCAACAAACCAGCCGAAGACCAAAGTGAAGATGGCAGAACTCGTTGGGATGTAGGCCAACGTCATGAATCGTCCGAATTTGGCACGAGTGTCTTCATTCAAGCAGCACAGCCGCTGAAGGTTCAGACACGGGAGCGCCATGCGATGAAGGGGCTTGAGCAAGCCGCGAGTGTGAAAAGGTGGCCAGGGAACGGGAACCCTGCTGAACCATGGGGCAAGCTCGCAAAGGTAGACCTATACATCGCTCTTGCTATTGACGACGAGGGTAGCTGACGTATCTAGGATCCTGAACTTTGGGACCCTGCTGGAGATACATTGGTATATTACGGCTACCAACGTCCCCAAGCTTCGTTCCGAGTCAAGTCATCGACTTTGGAGGAAACGAGATCGGAAACACTCGCCTCAATGCTGCAGGAAAGCTACAAGCGTACCCCCAAGCCTGCACCATCCGTAATATCCGCTTCTTCTTCAGAACTGGGTGTCAAGAGATTCGGACTTGGTCGTCGGGCTCCGTCTTCGGCTTCGGTGATCAGCAACCCCGGAAACGAGGCTCAGATCCGACATGAGATCCACTTTCCGGCGCCCGATGGTGCTTCCAGGACTGAGATCTTACGGCACCATATCACCACTCGCAACTTCTTCGCCCTTCTGTTGAACAAGCCTCTTGTTGGCCTAACGTTCTATCAAGCGCTCATAGACCTGCACGAACGCCTCCTAGTGTTTATGCCAAGGGAATCTAATTGCACCGACGTGATCATCGGATTCTTGACGAGGAATCGTCTCAACAATATCTGCAATGACCCCGCAGCTGCAGCTGGGTTACTTGCTTACAGCGAAGATGAGGAGGTGCAGTGGCCAGAGGGTTGGCGGGAAGGTTTCGTTCACTGCAGCGGCATGTACACGAAGTTGCGGGAGCTACCAGAGTTTCGCGATGTCAGCCATGTCTCTCGGACGCTTCTTGAGCGGTCACATCTTGAACTCCAGGCTAGGATCCAGGTTGCGGAGGACAGATTGTCAGCTTTCGATTTTGACGACATGTGGCCCTCTCACACAATTCAGCCTCCTGCCGCTCGACGTACATTCAACCACTTCCGCCGATTTCTGCTCCAATTCTATGAGAGAGCCTACAAGACTTGGCCTCCGCGCGGGATCCAAAATAGCAATGGCAATTGGCTGACAAGGGCCGTCATAAGCCACCTGCAAAAGGACTTCGGCTCGCTTTATGACTACTATGTTGATCGAGACGTCGTCTGGGCCGAGACCAAGGAGCCCAGCGAGCGGTATCGAGTCATGGTGCGCAAGAAGAACACAGCGGTCACCAAAATAAACAATGATGGCCTCGATCTCGCCAAGCTCTTCGTCCACTTCGACCACAAGCACAAGAATCCTCACATTCCGCATCCGTACCCGCTGCTGCCAGATTCGATGCCCGTCGGCGACACAGGAAAAGCGCAGCAAAAGCAATCCCTCTTCGCCAGCAAGTCCAAAGCCTTGGAGAAGCAGATCATCCACGCGTACTCGGTAGCCAGCAATGCTCTCATTCTAGGCCCCGACGTCGCCACCAACAGCTTAGTCGAAGCGTTCCAGCGTTTCGAGAAGACGGACCATCTGGGAGAGACAGACCCTCGTGATGCGAGGAAAGGCCGATGGATCCTTCTCTTTGGCATCCTGCAGATGCTCTCGCACGTGTCTGCTGACACGCCAGATCTATGGTTCAAGGACGATGTCTCTTACTTCTTGATGCCACGACTCAAGGGAACACCGCCCTGGGTCACGGGACCTGGGACTGTGTTCGAGGAAGCCGCGCCAGCCGCAAGTCACTGCTGGAGGGTTTCAAAATCTGCGTGGGGGAAAGATATACTGGCTACTTGATTGCGTTTCTGGAAAGCCAACCTATCCCATCCACTGGCGCCGGGGGTGTAAAATGTCTCGGCAGAACACCACAAACTCGCTTTCTTCGCAAAACAAGAAATTTCGAACGGCAAAAAGCAACTTTCTATTGCAAAGTTTCGGGTCTGCTTATGAAGAATAGTCGCGACACCGAAAGTTTTGGTCTGGTCGCAGTCGTTGGACTACACTGAATCGCAACGAGAATATTTCTGATGTTACACCCTGCCAGTGGATGATGGAGTAGCATTTCGCAACCTTTTTGGAATACGTGAAATGAGCAACACGGCGATTATAAGAAGCTCGACCCGCTGCTCAACGCGTATCCGGTCGTTGGTCTAAAGCATGAAGACGATTTGCTTAAGCGAGCGCTCCAAACCGAAGAAGGCCAAAATGCAGGCATCGCATTAGCTCGGAAGTGGTGCTGGCAAGGCTGTAGAGTACTATCGCTCCAAAGCGAGTTCTCACAACGGGTGGCCTCTGCAGGGTTTCATGTCCCAAAGAGATTGGTCCCAAAGACGAAATTTCAAATTACGGTCGTCCGGCTTATGTCCCCTTTCTCTGCGCAACGCGAATGAAGCCAGCGCTCAAGGCTGGCAATCTCTCTGGTAGCCCATCTCTTCTAAGTCGACCTATATGCTTTCGGACCATCAACTCTACAATTCCGGGACACGCTCTTGGTCCTATAATGGAGACCAGCACGACGGAACCGGACTTGAATTCGAGCGCGACATCGTCAGCAGCCCCGCGTGATCAGTCCAGCATAAGAGATCCGGACGGAAACTGGGTGCACCATCACCAACAGTCCCGCCTGATCAGTCAATCTCTGTCTACCGACTTGAAACCCCGCACGCACTTGACAACATTTGCCCAAGTCCTTCGAACAGATTACCCCCTCAATCCAACCGCACACAGGTAGCCCTCGCACGCGCTTCAGGGATCGAAATGCGCATCGTTCGACGAGAGCCTCGAGAAGGCTATTCTGGATCTTTCCCATCACGGCAAGCAGTGGAGAAACGGCCTCCACTCACCCACCGCCGTCTTGCGACACCACGAGCCGCAAAAGGGTCATCGAAAAAAAGCAATGGAATGGCGCGGGCACCGATGCGACCCTTCAGGCCGGTTCGTCGGCCCAGGGTGGCGGATCCCTCTGCAACGATACTCACCGTAAGTTCGCAGCCTGCCGTGACGGAATCGGTACCGCGCTGATCATCGCCCGTAGTTGGGATGCCGAAGCGGTTGTAGAGCAACGAGATCAAAAATGTGATCGTGCGGCAAAAAAAAAAAAAAAAAAAAATCCTTTTTTTTAAAAAAAAAAAACCCCCCCCCCCCCCCCCAAATTTTTTTAAAACCCCCAATTTAAAAAACAACCAAAAAAAACCCCCAAAAAAAAAAAAAAAAAAAAAAACCCCTTTTTTAAAAAAAAAAAAAAAAAAAAAAAAAATCCCCCCTTTCCCCCCCCCCCCCCCCCCCCCCCCCCCCCCCCCCCCCCCCCCCCCCCCCCCCCCCCCCCCCCCCCCCCCCCCCCCCCTTTTTTTTTTTCCCCCCCCCCCCCCCCCCCCCCCCCAAACCCCCCCCCCCCCCCCCCCCCCCCCCCCCCCCCCCCAAAAAAAAAAAAAAAATACCGAGGGGGGGGGGGGGGGGGGGGTTTTTTTTTTTTTTAAAAAAAAAAAAAAACCCCCCCCAACAAAAAAAAAAAAAAAAAAAAAAACCTGGGTGTTCGGGCCACATTGCATCGCGGGCGCGTATCCCCCTGATCTGCCATACAAAGTCTTGTGCTGAGCGAACCTGCTGTAAGTCGCTGTGAAACCTTAAGTTCGCACGAGCTAGGTTGCTATAGATGATCAAATGCATCTTGTCCATGGCTTCCCGGTACATGAGTCCGGTATATCGCCCTGTCGGCACGCTTTTGGTACTGTCGCCGTCTCTGCTAAGATACCTGAAATCACTGAGGATGTCAAGTGTGCCTTTAGATTTCTGAATGGCTAAAGCGATATCGTCGGCATCGTATACCGCAATTGCTTCTTCAAAGGCTGAGGATACGGCCAGGAATTGATCGTGAATGCTTGGTCGGGCCCTGGATAAACTGGTGTGGATCTCCTGCCGATACCGCTCGCTGATCGGGGCGTCGATGTACGAATATCCAACATTGTATACGGCTCGAAATGGCTCTAGAAGCCTCCGTGATCGAGGACTGTCGATGGAGATGGGCCGTTCTAACAGTCTCGATTTGGCATCCTTGATTCCATTGACCATTGCGCTGCCACTGCCCTTTATTTCTCCGTAGACAGATGCACTGCTCTCGTCAGTGGCTCTTCGATTCTCATCTGGACCTGCACAATTAGCCGCGGCAATCTTGGTGGCCGCGGTCAGATATCCCACTGGATTTCCATCTGTGGAGGCATTCGAGTCAAGATATCCCTTTCCAGCCGTGCCCACCTCGTCACCAATGGTAAACCAGAGATCCATAACCTGCAGCGGCTGTAACTCACGTCGATAAAATCTATCGATCGATCGCAAAGCTCTGCAGAACACTGGAAGATCGTCGCAAGCAAAAATGAAGTGATGGTAACCATGGTGATCAAACAACAGGGGTGATGGAATCAGATTGATTTCCATCACGTGACGTGTACAGGCTTGCGCTTTCGTGCCTGTCGACAGAACTCGCAGCCCACGGCCACTTGAGCCGGTACTTCGGTAGCCTCCGAAATTAGTCGGGTGGTATAGTTCATTCGCTGCCACAGAATTGATACGAATGAAGAGGTTTTCCATGTAGAATATGTTGCTGGCTTCAATGTATACCTGTCGGTTGGTAAAAAGGATCGAAGTATGGAACTGATAAGTGTATTTGCATCTCAATGTATCCTACGTAACGAATTAATCCAGGCTCAGTCGGGTTATTGGGAGACTGGGCAGAACTTGCCGATGCAGGTTCTCCATGAAACTCCTTGGTGTGCTTGGTTGAAAGTAGGAAGCGATAGATGTTATCTCGGATCTCACGAGGTGCTCTCATGAACGGCCCTGCATTTCCTATAGAAGGCGTGGCGGCAGGTGGATCGAGGCTTGGTGTTGAACTTGTTGCCATGGTTGGTTGGAGAATTGCAGTTTGCTCGCGCAAGTGGAGGTCTGGACGAGACATGTCTGTTTGAACGTTTCTTCTTATTTACTATCCTACAACAAGTGGAATGGTTTTCAGTGGACCCTGATGGCTGAAACCCGGCGGATTCGCCTTACCTCTATAACACTTTGTACTCGAACATTGACTGAAACGACTGTTTGCAGCAGGTCGCCGAGGTTTGCAAATGACTCGGCTCGATGAGTGAGCTTAGTCAGAACGTGAAGTCACCAATCGTACCTTATGCCTCAAGGTGTTAACCGTAATTTGCGTGGTCGAGGAGATCCAACGATTAGCAGGTTGAAAGCTTGGAAGGTTGAAAAACGGGCTGTGATGTTCCAGAAAAAGGAAGGTCTGGTCTTGTAGAGTACAGTAAGGGTTTGATGGTTGTAGAGATGCCCCAGGTTGTGACAACTAAGACGGTGCGTTCTAAATGTATAAATACTGTTGGTTTTGACGGCTTATGGCCATTAGCCATAATGTGGCTGAGGGCTACAGCCATATAGCTATGGGCAAATATAGCCATAGGTAATATAGTTATTAATAATAACTATATAGCTATAGTTATAGTGTATTAGAGTAATTAGTTTACTTAATATATATATAAAACTAATATATCTAAAAGGCTAAGATATAACCTTCGAAGTAATTTAATTTATTATAAATTATAAGCTAAAATCGAATAACTTAAAGAGACGAATCTCTAGTAATTTAGTAAGCGATTTTTTATATTTATATTAAATCTATATTTATTTATATAAAGTTCTTTTCTTATATTCTATCTATCTATATATATAATCTATTTATATAATATTTATATTTATATATAACTTTAATCTTAATTATATTAGATATAATCTATTATATTACTAATAGATTATAAATTTAATTAGCTATTAATCGAGATTTTAGTTTTTTATTATATCTATCTACTATTATTATAATCTCTCTAAATATTAGAGAATATAGCTATCTTAAGAATTTTATTAAAGAATACTCGAGAATAAGGCTATAGTAGATTAGGAAATAAGATTGTTTATTCGCTAAATAGATAGTATTATTAATTAAGAGTCTTTTTTATTTAAAGAAAAAGAAGAAAGAAGAGAGAGAAGAGAATCTTTTACTCGATTTAAATAATTTATTAATAATCGATTTATTAAAGAAATTAAATAAGAGATTTATTAGTAAATCGTATATTAAAATAAAAGTTCTAAAGAATTTAAACTATTATCTATAAATCTAGAATTACTAATAGTTTTTTAAGAGATAAGATATCTTTAAAATAGTATTAAAGAAATTATTAATACTTATATAATTCGATAGAGAGTTAGTTAAATAATAAATTATTTTAAATAAATAAATCGCTATATTAATTAGAAATAACGTTAATTAAAATTAAAAGAGTTATATCGTTTATCTTATTACTTTTAAATCTATATAAGATAAACTTTATTAAATTTATAAAATAAGTAATAAAGAATATTTTTTTATTATATTATAGAAATTCTTTAAATATATTAAATTAGTAGATTAAACGATTAATTAAATAATAGTAGATTTATAAAATTTATAGAATAAAGTTATAGATCTAAATCTAGTCTATATATTATATAATCTTACTATAGCGATAATAATTATAAATACTTATTAAAAGAGTAAGTTCGATATAATTAAATATAATTTAGAAATTAATAATAATCTTATTATCGAAATAATTATAGAATATTTATAAATCGTAGAGTAAGATAGATAAATTAAGAATAAAGATTTATTTATATATAATAGACGAAAGAATTAATTAGATTAAAAGTCTTTTAGAGATATAAATAAGATAGAATACTATAATTATAAAAAAATTAAATATTATAAGAGAGAGTATTTAAATAAGAAGAATAAAAAGAATAAGAATTATAGAGCGAAGGATTTAAATAAGTAAAATTATAAATTAAAGAATTAATTAAGAATTGATTAAAGAATTTAAAGATATCTAAAGATAGTAAATAAAAATACTTAGATTATATTATTATAGTAGCGAATAAATTAAATAGCGATAATCATATTAGCGATATAATCGATATATATAATTAAAAGAAAAACTTATAAATAATTAGAGAAAAGTTAGAGCTTATAAATAATATATTATTAATAAAGAATTTTTTTATAATAGTAGACTTTTTAGAAGATAGTAACTAGCTAATAAACTTCGAAGCGACTCGCTATATAATATTAAATAAGAAATTATTTATCGATTTATAGTCTTATTAGAAGAAAGTAAAATTTAATAATTAGAGCGAGTTAATAGCGAGAGATAAGAGAATTATTCGAATTTATATAGATAACTATATATAGACTATAGAGAATATTCTATATATTCTAAAAATAAATAATAATCTACTATCTATTATAGTATTAAATTAAAAGAGTTTTAAAATATAATTTAAAAGTTTATATATTAGAATTATTAATATATTTATAGATAAGATAATAGTAAGAGATTATATAAGAAATAGTCTATATTAATTAATTAAATCGATATTTAATAGAGTATTCGCTTCTAGAAAGTCTAGATCTTCTTTTAAAAGTATATTTATATTTATGAAATAAGAATAAGTCGATTATTTTTAACTAATATATTAATAATTAAGCTATATTAAAGCGTATCGCTTAAAAAATCTATATCTCTATATAAGAGATATAGAGAAAATAAAATTATCGAAAGAATTTTAATATAATATATATAACTTTACGAAAATAGTTTAATAGATTAATAAGAATTTTAAACTAAAGAAAATAATATTAGAAGCTTAAATATATATTAACTTTTAGAAATTATATCTTATAGTTAGTATTATAAAGAATAGTAAATAATTTATATTTCTTATCGATAAGGTTATTAATTAATTAAATCTCGAGTTTATTATATTAAAGAAATAGATCTATATCTTTATTCTTAGAAATATAATTATAATTAATAAAATAATTAAAATAAGAGAAGTAATATTAGTTAGAATTAATAATATAGAGAAATATAAGTTAATTAAGAATATACTTAAGAAATGAGATATTATTATAAAATTTATAATTATTTATATTCTATATTAAAATAATATCGTAGAACGATTTAATAGAATATTAATTAAATTTATAAGATTTATATTTAGTTAATTAAGTCTACTTATAAGCTTTTAATTAGAAACTATAATTTATATAAATTATTTAAAAAATAAATTATTATATAATAGTAGAGAAATTAAGTTACTTTACGAATTATAATTTAATAAAAAATCGAATCTAAGTTATAAAAAAGTCTTCGATTATCTATATTTAAGTTATTTATTAAAAGAGAAATAAGAAAGTAAGCTATATATTATAGTCTATTAAAGTATATATATTAATTACTATTTATTTACTTAGTATTAAATTTATAATTCTATAAGAGCGTAGTTTACTAGCGATTAGCTAGCGAATATAGACTATAAAAGATATAGAGTCGTTATAAAGTTTAATAGTATATTTAATAATAGAACTAATCTTTAAAGAATATTAAAATTTCGAGATATATAAAGTAGATCTACATTCGCCAAGTGTCATGAGATGCCTCAGGGATACTCATAGGGCCACTAGCGTAGGCTTGGCACCGCACATATCTGCCTGCAGACCACATAGATAATCAACATCTTTTACAACACACACATATATGAGTCAAACCATAATGATTCCTTAACAATTGGTAGCAACACCTTAAGATCTAATTCCACTTGATCCTACGATGTAGTAGACGTCTCTACGAGCCACGTCTACACCACACGTTTACGCAAAGCCCACATCAACACCTAATAGTGTGACGCTCCAAGCCGGCCCTCACATACACTCGCAGTCATCGAGTACCATTTGACAACGTCCACATCGATCCTTTCGCTAGGCCTATCGATATCGATATCATGAATTCATACGCTGAGAGACTCGCCTCATTCACGTCATGGCCACATGTGTGTCCAAGTGCCTCTACCGTAGCCCGTGCTGGCTTTCGCCGAGAATACGACCCTACTTTTCCGTCCCCTGATCTCACTGTATGCTCACTATGCGGCCTTGATCCTTGTGACTGGGACAGTGACGGTACTCCTACTCCATTCGATTTCCACGCTACTCGATCACCGGAGTGTCCATTTGTACGTGCAACACAGCAGAAGAAGAAGCACCGGAATCAGAAGACTCGCCAGCAATATACGAGAAGGTCTCTACAAGCCGTCACTCAGCAAGAGGAGGAACCATTGCAGCAGGCAAATGCGGAGAACACTGCGGAGAAATCAAGCGACAATAAGGCCACCATCAGCAAGAACACGGCTCAGCTCTCCACAATCCCACGTCATATGCTCTCCACGGTTCCACGTCAAATCACCACTCAGCAGGCGGAGAACGACACTACAATTTGGCCTGGTATCTCTGCGTGCCTCAACAATATCACATTGATATGGTATATCACTGGAATGACGTCACAAGAGGAGGATCTACTGCGACGATCACAGCCAATTGGATCTCTTCAGGACGGAGTTCGGACGATGCATATCTGGACGAATTGAAACCGTCTGATGTCTTGCTCCGGTACTATTCGAAAGGCTTTCACTGCGGCAGGAGAACTCATGGGATACACACTACTAATTGGCCCGGCATCTCCACTCCTTTCCGACATTCGAAAAATCATGCATGCATACTTCTTGCCATGAGGACATGGCATTTCTCTGTTTTTTGTGGGCAATTGTCATGAGATGCCTCAGGGATACTCATAGGGCCACTAGCGTAGGCTTGGCACCGCACATATCTGCCTGCAGACCACATAGATAATCAACATCTTTTACATCACACACATATATGAGTCAAACCATAATGATTCCTTAACACTAAGCCTCTAGATATATAAGATATATTATTAAAATTAGACTTTAGAAGAAATCTTAATATAATATATATAATATCGAAGTTTTAGTATAAATAGCGCTAAGATTTATAATAGTATTAAATTTAATAATTATTTCTTCTTCTAGACTCTAATCTTTAGATATCTAAATAAAATAAAATATTTATTAAAAAACCTTTAAACTCTAATAGAGAAATAAGAGAAAAAAGTTAATTTATTATAATATTATTTTAATAATGCGATAGAACTAATTATTACGCGCTATAGACGCGTTATTAATATATTATATAATAATATTAATATTATCTCGAGAATAATATCGCTTTTATAATATTAATTAATAATAATTTATAATAAATTAACGCGTTTAGTATTAACGTTTCTATAGCGCTAATTAATAACCTCTATAGCGAATAGATATTTAATTTAAAATTTTATAATAAAATTTTAAAACTCTAATAGATAAAAGAAGATAGAAGAGTTTTCTTATATATAATATTATTTTTATAGCGTATTACGCTAATAGCGAAGTAATATAATAATAATCTCTATTATAAATATTTAAAAGAAGTAATTAATAGAGTAACGCGTTTATAATAATATCTTTAATTATTAATTAATAATAATAATAGAATAATAATAATAGCTAGATAACGCGACTTTATAGATAATAGCGAAATATTATTATATCGCTAATATTTATATTATTAAATATTATTTACTAGTATTAATACTATAATAAAGAATATAAAAACTCTCTTTAAATTATTTATTTTTATTCTTTATAACTTTTAATATCTCTCTTATAAGTATTTACTTTAGCGCTATAATATTAATATTAATATTAATATAAATATAGTATATCTTATTATATTAATAATCTATCTCTCTTTATTATAAATATCTTATTATTATTAATAATATTAATATATAGACTAATAATTTTATAATACTCTTTTTTAATAATAATAATAACTTTAATAATAAGTATATAATTATTTTATAAACGCGATTACTAATCTCTAACTATTTTTATTATTATCGCTTTATATATATAACTATTAATAAATTCTAATATTTAATTTATTATATAAAACTTATTTTTATTAAAATATCGATTTATATATTTAAGATAAGTCTTTCTTTTATAATAATTATAAGATCGAAAAGCGCGATATTAATTACTATATTAAAATTTCTCTATATCTTTAAACGTAGATAAGAAAATCGATATAACGCTATCGTCGCGTTAAATAATTTTAATAAATATTTTATTAACGAATTAAACTCGATAAGAAGATTATTTAATAATATAAATTATAGAAATATATAATAGCGATAACTTTAGTTATCTTTATTATAATTATAAATTTTTAAAATTAGTTTATAATAATAAATAAATATATAGCGAAGTTAAAGAAAATAAATAAGTTATTAAAAAAGAAGCTTAAGAGCCTTCGTCGATATATAATAAATATTAAAAAATATTAACTCGAAGATTATACTTTAATTAATTTCTCGTTAAAATAATAAATTAATAAATTAAATTTAGAATTTAATATTAAGATAGCGAAGAATATTTAAATAACGACTTTTTTTAGTAATAGCGCTAATATAAGATTTCTAGATAGTTCTTTAATAGCTACTTTAAGTAAAAATATATTTATATTAATAATATATATTTTAATATAATATAGCTTCTTTATAGTAGAGTTTAATAGATAATTAAATAATATAATTATTTAATTAATTTATATCTTAATAATAATAAGTATAAAGAAATATATATATAATATAAATATTATCTAGAAATATATTTAATCTAATCGATATTTATATCTTATTTTATCGCGTTTATTTATTTATTATTAATTTATATAATTAAAGAGATTTATTATTATTTATTATTTAATACTTTCGCTTATTATTTATTTATTTATAAATTTAAATTAGCTCGCTAATACTAATAAGTTTATTATTTAATAATTATTAATTATACTCTTTATCTTAATTAATTTATTTAACTTTATATTAAACATCTTTCTTATACTTAATCTTATTAATAATTTCTTTAATCTTTTAAAGCTTATTATTATTAATAAGCTTAAAAATCTATATAAAGATATTCGCTATATTATTATAATCGCGATTATAATAAAACTTAAATAATAATATATATAAAATATTATAAATTTTATAAATTTTATATATTAAGAATAAAAGTGAATAATATATCTACGCTTCTATCTTATTTATAATTTAAAATAATTTTATAAATTTATAAAATAACTTCTTATTTAAACGTTTTTACTTTAAATTCTTAATTACTAATATTATTAAATCGCTTATCTTATAATTTTAAAATTAATATATTTTATTATAATACTTAAATTAAATCGTAATAGCGCTATAAAAGCGCTCTATTATCTTATCTCTTAATATTTATAATTTTTTTACTCTATTATTTATAGCGAATATCTCTCTCTTAATAAAGTTATTCTTAATCTTCTAATAAATTTTAGAATAATATTTATATATTAAAAAAATTAATATCGTTTTAATAGAGAAATATTAACTATTTATATAAGCGAACTCTATTATTAATAATTATTTTATCTAAACATTTTACTTATTATTAGTAAATATATATAAAAAATATTCTAATATCTAATTTTAACGCTTAATTTATTTATTAATTTATAAATAAAAAATAATATTTAGATATTACTTAATTTTAAAATAAAAGTAAATAATAATTAAAAGCTATTAATAAATATAGAGCCTCTATTATTAATAATATTATTTAATATATTATAATAATATATTATTTTAAAATAAAATACTTTCGCTAGTTAAACGATATCGATTATAATAAATATAGAAATATATTTTATTATTTTTATAAATCGATTTATTATAATTAGAATAATATCGTAAATAATACTCTTATATATACTCGCTAATAAGTTAATAATAAAATCTAGAAGAAGAAAAATTTATAATTTAATAGCGATAGAAAGCGAACTTAATTCGCTATAGAGGCGATATCGCGAAGTCTTAATTTATTAATAAATATTATATATCTTAATATAATTAATAATTTATTTTAAGCTTTTATCTTAATAGTATTTATAAATAAATAATTTATATATCTTTATAGCGTTAAAGTATTTAAATAATAAATTATTATAATATTTATTAATAAGCTCTTTTTTTAATATCTTATCTCTAGAAATATAAAGATAATTATTATATCTTAATAGTTTCTTAAAGTCTAAGATCTATATTTAGCTACGTATATAACGCTTAATTATTAACTTATTAATATTAATTTAAAAAGAGTTTATCTAATTATTATAAACTTATAAATTTTAAATTAATATTTTTATTAATCTTTAAAATACGTTATAAGTAATCTCTTATATAATCTTAGATTCTCTTCTAGAAATAACTATTTAAATATTAATAATATAAAATATAAGTATTATTATTATTATAATCTTCTTATCTCTTTATAACTACTTACTATTAATTTAAAATATAAATTTATTTTATAATATCGATAGTAATTTAATATTTAATAGCGAAGTTTTTTTATAATTAAAGCGTCGCGATAGCGAATTAATAGAGTTTAATTTATTTATTCGATAGAAAATTTTAAAGTTATAAATAGCTAACTTTAGCGCTTAACGAATTTATCTAAAGTTTAATTTCTTCTACTTTATAAAATCTTTAAAATTATTATAATTCGTTAAAATTTTAATATAAAATATACTATCTTTTAGATAATAACGCTATTACTTTATAGATATTATAATAATAAATAACTCTTAATTATAGATCTAATAGTTTTACTTTATAGAAATTATTTTTCTAAATTAGAATATTATTAATTATTAATAATTATTTTTATTTAATTATAAAAGTACGAGTAAAGGCCTATAAATTAAATTCATAATTATTTTTTTAATTAGGGCTATCGAGTAAATAGGTAAGCGATCTTTGATAAGCGAACTTTAGTAAGCGATATTTGAATTCCTTACGCTTTAATAATTATAAGATTAAATCTAAGAGTTTTTTTTTTATCTAAAAGCCTATATTTTATTCTATAATTTAAAAAAAAAATCTTAAAGTTTTAATAGAAAAGTAAAAAGTTATTTTAAAATTAAATAATATGTATCTGTTTTTTGATCAGGGCTGTCCGGCTGTCGAGCGAACTTTGGTGAGCGATATTTGGTGAGCGATATTTGAATTCCTTGCGCTTTAATAATTATAAGACTAAATTTAAGAATTCTTTTTTTATCTAAAAGCCTATATTTCGTTCTACAATTTAAAGAAAAAATATTAGAATTTTAATAGAAAATAAAAAAGTTATTCTAAAATTAAATAATGTATATTTATTTTTTTATTAGAGCTGTCTAACTGTCTTTTAATAATTGCGGATACTAATTTATTTACTCGCGATAATTTAGTCGATCTAGTCAAAAGGCGTAATAACCTCGAATTTATAATTAGCTATATATATAAATTCAAGGTTTTCAAGCTTAGCTCTATCTTATTCTATTATATATATTAATAGCTCTTATATCGAAGTTAAAAGCGTTAATTTTAAGATATAATTTTAATTTTAAATTATAATAGCATAGAAATAGCGTAATTATAAAA